TTTAGTGGTTCCGCAACAAGTCATGAAGGTACCCCGTCATACTAACCACCGACGGTGAAACTACCCCCCTTCGTGACTACTCATATTCGATAGCTTTTGGCGCTTCATCTGCCAGATAGGTGACATAATGAGTGTAAGGACTTTGTGGATGGTTGCTGTTTGATGGCTTTTGCTGATCATACGACAGTTTCTCGATTCCGTTCTTTCGTCCATCGAGACGGGTAAACCGTCTCCAATCCCCCCCACCTCTGCCTCACCGTCGCCTCCTGTAACCTCTTCAAATGCTAAGACCGAGGTCCGCAAACCGGTTAACGTCTCTCGAGATGGCGCTTCAGAGCGCAAACCTCTGGTTTCTGGAATCAAGCGAAAGGCCGAGGAGCAGCTAGCTCGTCCTGCAAAATCTGTTACCCCAGCACCTACCAGGGCAGCAGCAACATCATCAACAACCAATACCACTACCACAGCGAAGCCTACCGTATCTACAGCTCCTAGACCTCGTCCGAGCGCGCCATCTACGACAGCGACTACTGCAGTCAAGAGCCGCTCTTCAACCCCCCAGCAGAAGGCTCCTCCAGTGTCATCGAAGCCTCCCCCTAAAGGCTCTTTTGCGGATCTCATGGCCAAGGCTAAAGCACTACAAGAGAAGGCCCCGACTCAAGTTGGCATGTTCAAACACCAATCTGCCCCCAAGGAGAAGCTCAGCAAAGTCGAACGCAAGAAGAAGGCAGTGGAGGCGCAGACCAAGGACAAAGATGTGCGGTCGGCCAAGAAGGCAGGCGTTACTGCCGGTGGAGCTGCAGGCACGAAATCCGGTGACGGCAAGGTCGTCAAGAAGAGGGAACCCGAGCCATTGTCCTACAAAGGAACCGCAAGACCGCCCCCGTCTACAGGCCAGCCCGAATACCGAGGAACCGCCGGTCTACCACCACGCAAAACACTTGGCGACCGGAAAGCACAGTCTCGTTCCAAGCCTCGGATGGATGAATACCTGGGGACTGATGAGGAAGATGAGGGTGATTATGCCGATGACTACGACGACTACTATTCAGAATCCTCCGATATGGAGGCGGGCTTGTACGATGTGGAGGAAGAGGAAGCTGCTGCACTGGCGGCCGCCCGACGGGAAGATGAGGAGGAATGGCGCGCAGAGCTTGCCGCCAAGCAGCAGAAACTGGAGCGTCGCAAGAAGCTCGCTTCGTTGGCATCGCGACGATAGGAAGAAGTCCTTTGCTTCCACAATTTACCTACCTAATCAAGCCTTTTGCTAGTCCTGCAAGCCGACCTACCCGGACTTCCACAATTTCTTGGATTTTTCCCTTCTGTTTTCATTGTTTTCTTGTTTGGATACGGAGCATCAGCGAGGAATACCCCGAGGGTGCGTTACATATGACGTTACTGGTCTTCTTTGTTTTCATTTGTTCATTTCTGTACCAATTTTGGATGAGCATCAGCGAGCGTCAAGGTGTCGATAGATGGAGGGCGATTGTCTTCATTTTCACTTCACATATTAACATTGCTAGTTACATACAATAGCGGGCGTGTCTGTTACTGTCACCGTTCTCGTGGTAGCATTGAATGCGATTGGATAGCTGCAAATATTGACCACTCTCATCGTCATTGCTGGTAATATAGTAAAGATAGAGCAAAGCAATCAAGACCGGATTCTTATCGAGAAATGACCCCATCTGCCCCACCCGTAGGCGGTGACATCACTCTTCCTTCTGCTGCTACAGGTGCTGCTGCTTCTTCTCTCTACTTACTACTTCTCTCTTCAATTGCTGCGCAGTCGATCTGCTCTTTAATATAGAACGCATAATATACCATTCTACAGTTACAGATTCAGCATACTGATCGATCGCTATTTCGCTCGCCACCATGGAGTCGTCGGTTCATCACATTACAACCTCGTCCAAGGTTTTGCTGAAGAAGGCGCGCAATCTGGTGCCTCCGATGCTCGAGAAATTCCACAAAGGTAGGTCTTGACAATACGGTGTTAGTCTTTCATTCTACGAACTCTCTTCTGACAGATCAAAGGACAACATGGACGTGTTGCTGTTATCGGAGGAAGTATAGAGTACGTTCACCCCGCTCCTCTTCATGCGTACAGAATGTGAACGTGTCCAAGTTACACAGGGGCTCCCTACTTCTCTTCAATGGCGTCGGCTAGACTGGGTAAGATACTCATCCAATCCTAGTATAGCTAACTCTCAGCTGACATGGCACTGCAGGATGCGATATGGTAGGCTGTTCACCAAAACGTTAGCCGCTGTATACACTTTCTGACAGATCACAGAGTCACGTAATTTGTGACAAGTCTGCTGCAGTTGTAAGTTTGCATTCTGCTAGACTCAAGCATGTCTGTTGTCATTGACCGTGGCTAGGTCATCAAAACTTATTCTCCGAACCTTATGGTTCACCCGATACTGCCAAGCAGCGACAACGTCAAAGATCCCGAGTCTATTGACGCCCCGTCACTCGCTAGTCCCATCATCTCCATGCTTTCCCGTCTCCATTGCCTAGTCATTGGACCGGGTCTAGGTCGCGACGGAGTCACACTCAAGGTGGTCACGGAGGTGATGAAGGAAGCGCGGTCCCGATCGATACCATTTATCTTGGATGCGGACGGTCTGCTCCTTGTTACGGAGGACCCGGATCTAGTGAAGGGCTACAAGGAGTGCATTCTCACTCCCAATGTGAATGAGTTCAGTCGTCTGGCGAAAGCCCTGGGCATTGACGTTCCCAGCCAGGCCGACATTGGCTCTAAGCCTGGCGGCGGCGACAAGACTAGCGAGGAGACTAGGGCTTGTGAACAGCTTTCTCAGGCTTTGGGTGGCGTTACTATCATTCAGAAGGGTCCTCATGACATTATATCCAACGGTGTCACCAGTATCGTCTCCGACATTCAGGGCGGGCTGAAGCGGAGTGGTGGCCAGGGAGATACGCTTACTGGCTCGCTGGGCACCCTCTTGGCCTGGAGGGCGGCTTACCATAACGGACTCTGGGATTCGGGAGAGCAGGACAACAAGAAGGAGGCTGAGACCAAGCAAGATGTTCAGGCGGAGCTGGAATCCGAGAACAAGAGGATGTCCCCTGCCACGACATTGCTTCTTGCGGCGTTCGCGGGAAGCAGTATCACGAGGGAGTGCTCTCGTCGTGCCTTCTTAGCCAAGGGACGGAGCATGCAGGCTAGCGATCTCACCGATGAGGTCCATGAAAGCTTCCTGCAGCTGATTGGGGAACCAGAGGCGTCAAAAATGCGCTTGTAGGGTTTATTTACGAAGTGATCGGAATGTTCGTGTCGAGATGTATGGGAATGACATAATGAAATGTTATTTATAGGTTTAAAGTAAATCTGGGTAGCGGAAGTTCTTTGTCAATATACATACCACACACTTGTACTATCTCAGCTATCGCACTGGACCCGTGACTTCTTTTCTCCAGGGTTGATCCAGCATCGGATGCGAGTATCTTCTGCAACAGCGGTCAGCAACTACTAACACCAAGGGTTGCTTTTGCCATACTGATGGAATTAAGCCTACTATATGAACACCAGATGAAATTGTTCGATCGAACAGTCCTATCCATACCGTTTAAGCTCTGGTAGACACCAACACGTTATCTTTGTCTTCTATCCAGAAGTCACGAGATAGAATAAATGTATATACGACACTCTGACAATTCGACGCCATTGATATTGAACGTTCAATAGTCAATTTGGCCCAAGTGAGACATTACAGCCTCCACCAAACGGACATCCAAACCATATTGACCCTGTCTTTGACCTCCAATATGAAAAATTCCACATATATGACGTCCTCGTTGCCAGACTTGACCGTAAGCGATATCAAAGCCAAAAGAATGAGACTCTTTCAACATAGCATAACTCATATCCCAACTAACACTGATCCATCCGTAGTGATGAAATCCATACTTTCGACCTTGCTAAAGAAAGCAACAATCGCCTCCCGTCAATGCTGGGTCCGCAGGGCTACCTCGTATTTGCCCTCCACCACCGGCACAGCCCATATGAAACGGAGCTTAATAGTTCTATTTTCAATCCACTGGTATGTCTCAGAGGAACCAAACCATCACCGCATACTGAGCTAATCTTGATGTTTTCCCTCGTGACGTCGTAGTCGCGATAGTTAGATACCAGCCACCATGTTTTCCGTCCTTCGGCAACGAGGATCCTAGATGATATGGTCAGATCTATACGAAGTGAATCTTGATCGAATACTCTATTCCAAGTTTTAGTCCATACTAATTATACACCTACCTTTTTCCAGATACTAATCAGATAACTAGAAGATTGATATAAGATCCCCTCCACTCCCATCCCCTCTCATCCTCACCACCAAAATCTCAAATCAACTCCACAATCATTATCACAATCATTATCATTATCAATACTAGCACATCCAAAACCCACACCTCAACATGTACTTCTCAACCACCTTCACCCTCCTCCTAGCCACCACCACCACCCTAACCCTCGCCTCCCCCAACCCAGCTCCAGCTCCAGCTCCCCAAGCTGCATCCCCAGCATCCCCCCCAACATGCGGAACCTGCAACCCCCTCTCAGGCGAAAACCACTGCGACGTGACAACCTCATGCATCAACACCGGCACGCGCTTCCACTGCGCCTGTCGTGCGGGATACAAAGCCTCCCGCCAGAATAACGACATCACCAAACAGTTCCGCTTGAATGTCCCCGGGTATCAGTTTCTGGTCTTCACGCCTGAATATACCCAGTGTGATACGCTGTGCGATAATCCGTATGGAGCGAGTGCGCAGTTGTGTTCTGAGGTGCCGATTTATGGACAGTGTGGGGTTTGAGATATTGAATACATTTTGGAGGTGGAAGGTTTGGGTGGAAAGGGGGATGAAGTGATAGTTGGGGGGTTTGGGGAGGAAGGGATTTTGGTTGATCTTGATCTGTCAATGGAGGGCTGTTAGGAAGATTGTTACGCTCCTTTACTAGATATATATGATGCACATTGTACTGCTTGATTATTCAATGCCATTCATTTAGTTGTGATGATATCAAGAAATAAACACCAAACACCGGTCCGGGTTCTACCCTCCCACAGGAATCTCACATGGCCTCGTGCACGTCTCTCGGATGAAGATAAATAGTTGAAAAAATAATCGATGAAAGATAGCAGAAACGTATGACTGCAGACTCGTGCTAAATTAAGTAATAGCCGTTTACATGTCCATAGCATCAACAAAGACGAGGCGGGTACCACCGCCCAGAACTTGCCAGACCTATAAGATAGTATGATTAGCAGATGCTCATATAGACGTAGTATAAAGCAGATGAACTTACGTTGTTATGCTCATACTCGTCAATCGTCACGTTGAGTTGGTCCTCCGTGAAACCCTTGGCAAGTACTCTCTCCCGGATTCTCCTCATGCTCAATTCGCTGCCGTCTCCATCGCCCACAGCCGCAGCACCACTCTCCATCATGCTGCGGATGAGGTAGTAGATCTTGCTGGTGGGGCTCTGGTCCAAGCTTGACTGGCCGTCGTTGGCCAGCGAAGCCTTGCTGACCTCGACCAGGCGCAGGGCCTCGTCGACATCCTCGGTGACAACTTCGTTGCTGAATCGGAGACGCGCCAAGGCCTGCGACAGACGAACAACACCGAGAAGCGTACGGGGCGTCACATGGGAGAACTGCTTCTTCTCTGCCTCGTCCTTCTTCTGCTGCTTCCTCATCCTTACATAGGCTCCGACCATGTAATCGGACACAGCGGAGGGAACAACAGGACGGAAGGTACGCGCCTTAGCAATGTACTGGCGGACTTCCTGAGGCGTGAACATAACGCCGGCATCCTCGTGCTCAGGGTGCTTGTTGTGCATGTGGACATAGGTGACGTGGCTAGCCAGCTCCTCGTCTGCTTCGCGCGAAGGGGTATCGAGAATAAGGAACATGACATCGAAACGCGAAAGGAGAGCCGCGGGAAGGTTGATGTTCTCAACTGGAGAGACTCGGGGGTTGTAACGGCCATAAAGCGGGTTGGCTGCTGCCAGGATAGAGGTACGAGCGTTGAGGGTGGTCGTGATTCCTGCCTTGGAGATGGAAATGGTTTGCTGTTCCATCACTTCGTGAATGGCCGTACGATCCGAGTCATCCATCTTATCGAATTCATCGATACAGCAGATACCGTTGTCTGCCAGGACCAGGGCACCTCCCTCCAGAACCATCTCATCCGTCACGGGGTCCCGCATAACAGCCGCAGTAAGACCAACACCACTGCTTCCCCGGCCGGTTGTGTAAACACCACGAGGGGCGACCTTGGAAATATACTTCAACAACTGGGACTTGGCAACACCAGGGTCACCCATGAGGCAGATGTTGATGTCACCACGAATGTGCAGGCCGTCGCCCATCTCTTTCGTGACACCACCGATCAGGAGCAGAAGCAGCGCCTTCTTGACATCAAGATGTCCGTAGATTTCGGGGGCAATTGACCGCGACAAGTACTCGTACATATTTCCGGACTTCTGGTACTGGTCGATCTTGCGGAGAGTTCGGCTGTCCATGGCCGTGTCGTTGTATGACTTCTTGTGCTGCGTGATATGCTGGGCTTCCATGTAAGTATCCGTCAGCAAGCCCGCACGGATGGCTCTGAAACCGGTGTAAGGCGTGGGGAGGAAGATTCCTGCGATGTCAACAACATCTCCCGGGTTGAGCTGGCGTGTGAGACTTCCATGGCAGTGGATAGTCATGGTTCGTGGGATATGGCCAACGGGCACCTGATCGGCCATTTCTTGGATCTTGACCTCTTGGAAAGGAACGAATTTGGAAGCGCGAGTGGAGAGGAACAGTTGCCCCTTGGAGTTGTTCGTCCTGCATTCTTCGGACACACATTCGGACATAGGAAGGAACTGCTTCGTAGTAACCGGTTGGAACACTTCACATCCACAGCGATCACAAGTGTAGGCGTTGATTTCAACAGCTGGCTTGACATCCGAGACACGGGTTGTGATACCCCGAACGGTGATCAAGCCACCAATGTGCTCTGCGCGGACATTGCGCACTGCCAGGGCCTTGGATTGGCGGTCGCTGCTCGAGCCGGAAGGGGTGAGGGGCTTGAAGTTCATGGTGTACCGGCGTGTCAGCTCGGGTGGAAAGATAGACTGGGCGGCATCGGCGTCGGCATTGGCCTCTGCAGCCATGTTCATGGCCTCGTTGCGCTTCTCACGCTGCGACATGATAACATCGAGCACATCATCCTTGAAACTGTGCGCAATTAGCCTCAAGCTTTGGGGGGCGGTGATTTCGACCTACGTGATCTCCTTGCTTTCCTTCGGCATCAAGTCATCAACCGCACGAGAGAAAAGATCGATATAATGGTAGGTGTTCTTCTGCACGGATTCAACAAGCCGCAGGTCCATGTCATCCGAAAGGCCTTTCTCATACTGTAGCAGGTCAGTCTTGGTCGGGATATCAGTCGCAATAAGGAAGCACTCACAGTAGCGAGGTCGTCCAGCTCGATCAGAATGTTTGTGCGCTCCCGGTCAGCGACCTCCTGCAATACCTGCATGTATTTGAGCTTAGGCTCCCGACGTCTGCGACCAGCTCGCTGTGCGCCGCCCTCCTGGGCGACATCATCCATAAAATCGTATTCATCGCTGGTGCCATCCTCGTCAATGCGAAGGTCTTCAATGGCTTCTGTCGCAGCCGATTCCGAGGCAGACTCAAAACTTTTGAAATGCTTCAGAAAATCCTTGAAGGCATCGAGCTGCGCTTCGTAGTTGACGTTAAGGGTGTAAGCGTTCAAAGCCATGATGCTGTAGGGCAACAAGCCAGTTCAATTGACCAACAGCTGGCGATGAAGCGGGTTTGTGATGGTGCTAAAACTGCCTGGGGCCGAGAAGGTAAAAGAAAGGCGGCGGTTCGGCCAAAGCGTCCCTTGGCGGAGTTTCTTCCCAGTTGGCGGATTGCCTTTTTCGGCTGCCGCAGCAACACGTCGCGAAACGCGTCGATTTCGCGTCTTTCATGCCATTTCTACTTTATTGCCATTTCGGGTCTAGCGTGGAATTGGTCAGTAAAGCACGTGCTCTCGGGAGGGAACAACTCTCGGCCCGAACATCGGCGGCGGGCCACCTCGGCCAACGGCATCTGGTTGGTTTGCGGAGTCAATGCGAGTCTAATGAGTCCGGGGAGATGCTGAGGTCTGGTCTTCTCTCATTCTCCCCAAGATCTCCCGATCCCCGACTCCAATTCTTCTGCTGTGTTCGCTGACCGCACGAGCTTGCGATCCTGCGCCTGAGAATGGCGCCCCGAAAGCCCTCCACCACCGCGGAAGTTTCCCTGGTACCTTTGAAGAACTGTCTTGTAAACCTGCCACCGTCGCTGGTCGCACTGCTGGTCAATGCCAATACTGTAAGCTAGTCATTCCACCTGGACAGAGCGCGGTGATATTCCAACCCATCTGACACAAAAATAGGCCGCACAAAATGTAATTGTCGAACTACAATATCGCCAAACTACGGGAAAGGCCAATGGCAACCCCGCGCAGCGGTCATGCTATCTGGGATGGACTGGAATGCCGAGTAAGCGGAAGCTGGCTCCCGTCGTGGGAAGGGACGGTATCAGCAGTGCTTCTGCCGCCAGGGAGCAGGACATCTCTACTGTAGAGCTGGACACAACATTTGGGCGACTCTTGGGTCTTGCTGATGGCCAAAGGGTAAGTGTGCCGGTCGCGACGGGGACCCTCAATGCTAATGCGCCTAGGTTGGGATATACATCCATCTTGATCCACCCGTTGCGCATACTATTAATATTGAACCTCTGACTCCGGAAGATTGGGAGAGTATGTTTTGGGTCCCCTTCTATGATGTACCGGCATGTTCTAACCACCTGCAGTTATTGAGCTTCACGCGACCTTCCTCGAGCTTAACCTTCTCTCGCAGATTCGAGCTCTCCCCAACCCCACATACACGACGCCTCAGCCTGATCACATGCACCCTCTTGCATTGCATCTTTCTCCAACATCCACGGCCAACATTGTCATCACATCTTTGACTCCTGCTCCCCCGAATACCTCACCCTTCGCGAAGATAGCGCCAGATGCAGAAGTTATTGTTGCTCCGAAGACTCGTCCGAAGGCCAACAGAGGCGCCCGGGGAGATAGCCGGAGCGTCGCTGGAAGCAGCAGGAGAAGTGTTGGAGGACGGAGTAGTGGAAGCACCGCCCGGGCAAAGGGCAGTCGATCTGACTCGACGAGCAGGGGCTCCCTCTTCTTCCGGGGAATCGACCGTCAACTGTCGGAGCAGTACTTTGATGAAGAGGCGGAGGAAGACAACAACGATGGGTTCCGTGTCTGGCTTGATCCGGACATGCTTGCCACCAACGAGCTTCGGGGCGCAGGATGGGCTTGCATTTCGGTTGTCCAGCCTGCTGGCCTGAAGGCGCCACCCGACCCGCAACAACAGGTGGAACAAACGGAACAAAAAGGTAGCGATGCTGGAATTCCGGCGGCCAAGCTGGTTGCAAGGTTGATCCCGTGGACTGATGCTCCGGACACTCAGCATGTTGCAGTATCCACTCTGTTGTCTGCTGCTCTCGGTGCTGAGGGTATGGTGGGTGGTATTATTCGAGTCGAGGCGGCCCCTCCGCCGCTACAGCGGTCCACGGTGAAATCTCTCAAGATACATCCTTTTATGGCTGATACGACAAAGAAGAAAGATGGATTGAAATTCGGGTCCGATACTGCGGCAGCGAGAGATGCATTGGCAGAGCGTATCAAGATGATCTATGGGAGTACTGGATCAGATAAGGGGCTACTAGCAGGGCCCTTGACCGATGGGATGGTTTTGCCAAATACAGACTACCAGGCAACAGGACCCAGCTTCGACGGTGCTATTCTCCGATTCGATCCTCCTTTGAAAACTGGTTCCGAGACGGCAAAACCAGCAACAAACTGGCTCTTGGGATCAGATGCTAAGCTGTCGCTAGAAGTGCAGGCTGAGATACCCCGTCCAGCAGAATCAAGCTCCTCCGCCCATCCGTCGGAGGACGCAATACCGCCTACTGTTCCTGAAATGGTTGGGATCGACCGCATTATCTCTCAGTCTATCGATAACCTGACCAAATCCTCCTCTATCTTGCTCACAGGCGGTCTGGGGTCTGGAAAGACAGCTTTGAGCCATCTACTAGCTCACCGTGTGCGGAAGGACTATCTGTTCAACGTGAAATATTTCTCTTGTCGGAAACTGGTCACTGACGAGACCCGGATCTCCAACATCAAAGAAACGCTGAACCGCCTTTTCATGTCCGCTTCCTGGTGCGCACGTCTTGGTGGACAGTCGCTGGTGATTCTAGATGATCTTGACAAGCTGTGTCCTGTCGAGACAGAGCTTCAGGTTGGAGGAGACAATGGCCGCAGCCGCCAGAACAGTGAAGTTATCTGCTCGATGGTGCGCGAGTATTGTACAATGAACTCCTCGGTGGTTCTGCTGGCCACGGCACAGTCGAAAGAGTCCTTGAACAATGTCATCATCGGAGGTCACGTTGTCCGAGAGATCATCCACTTGAGGGCTCCGGACAAAGAAGGTCGCCGCAAGGTATTGGAGCAACTTACCAGCCAGGACAGAGGTGTTCCACCTGCGTTGAACGGTCATGCACGCAACTCCAGTTCCTCTACGCAAGACTCCTGGCTGAACCCCTCCAATCCAGGAAGTCGTCCCAGCTCAGCAGGCGCAGACGGGTTTGTGCTTGGTAGGGATGTGGATTTCCTGGAACTTGCTGGCAAGACAGACGGGTATATGCCCGGTGATATGGTCCTCCTAGTCTCCCGCGCACGGAACGAGGCTCTTATTCGCTCTGTTCAAGATATTTCATCATCGTCGTCGAGAGCCATCACGCTTGGGGCAGATGATTTTGAGAACGCTATCAAGGGCTTTACGCCCGCGTCTCTTCGAAACGTTACGCTCACCTCGTCTACTACGACCTTTGCTGGCATCGGTGGGTTGACTGAGACCCGTAAAATGCTCCTCGAGACGTTGCAGTATCCCACCAAGTACGCCCCTATCTTCGCACAATGTCCTTTGCGTCTACGCTCAGGTCTGCTACTTTACGGATACCCAGGATGTGGAAAGACGTTGCTCGCCAGTGCGGTAGCCGGAGAGTGTGGCCTGAACTTCATCTCCGTCAAGGGTCCTGAAATCTTGAACAAGTACATCGGTGCGAGTGAGAAGAGTGTCCGAGATCTCTTCGAACGGGCACAGGCCGCTCGACCGTGTATCCTCTTCTTCGATGAATTCGACAGTATCGCACCTAAGCGTGGACACGACTCTACAGGTGTCACCGATCGCGTTGTCAACCAGCTTCTGACACAAATGGATGGTGCCGAAGGTCTCTCCGGAGTGTACGTCCTTGCAGCTACATCCCGACCAGACCTCATCGATCCCGCCCTGCTCCGACCAGGACGCCTCGACAAATCTTTGATCTGCGACATGCCCAACCACGCAGACCGACTCGACATAATCCGAGCAGTGAGCGAGAAGCTCGCAATGAACGAGGAAGTCGCTGCTCGTCTGGACGAAGTGGCCACCCGTACAGAGGGCTTCTCCGGAGCTGATCTGCAAGCTGTCGTATACAACGCCCATCTTGAGGCAGTCCACGATGCCCTGGGCGACCACTCCGTAAACGACAAGTCCACGGCCAAGAATGGCACAAAGTCCTCATCAACAGCCACCAGCACCAAGTCATTCATCCAATTCCTCTACTCTGCCTCCGAGCAGGAGGCCGGAAAGGTATTGATGCCTTCTCCAGCTGTTGTTGCGTCCAAGCTCGATGCAATCAAGAGCGCACGACGACGCCAGCGACAGTCGGAACAAGGCACAGCAAACAACACTCAGACCGTAGTACCCAACGGGACCGCACACGAGGAACCGCGTGAGGAGATCATCGTGCGTTGGGAGCACATGGAACGTTCTTTGAACACAACGCGTAGCTCCCTCAGCCCAGCTGAAAGACGCCGCTTGGAAGGTATCTACCGGGAGTTCATCTTCGGACGGAACGGCGAGATGCCTAACGGCGAGGGCAGCCAAGAGATAGGAGGACGGACGAGCTTGATGTGATCCATGTATATTAATACCACATGCATATATTGTTCCATATTACATTTGACTTAGTACTAGCATGCTCTTATCTACGTAGTTTCGCTACTACAGGCTAGAGATCCAACCGTAGGTCATAATCTATAATGGCTGGGAGACTTCCCTTAGCCAGCTTTGACCTTATGCTTGCTGATATTTCCATGCTTTGAGAGAAGACATGGAGACCAATGAACTCCGTCTGCGAGGTCCCTTCGCCAAAACCTCCTCTAGACTTTCCTTCTTCAACCCCGGCAGTCCCTTTTCGCGCCGGGCCTCAACTTCCTGCCAAAACATAACGACAACTCGGCGAACCCAGCCCTGGTAGTCCTGTGTCTTTGATGATGCTGATGCTGATACCTCATCAGACATAGAGAACTCCTGATCATTCCGCTCTATCTCGCACGACCAACAAAGACAAACATCATAGTCCCCTTTGAATCTGTCCGAGTAAGCCTTTTGAGTAGCTTCGAACCAGCTACTCAGGTTTTCATGAATGGCATTATTCTTATGGTCCATGAACCTCCCTACATGTCGAATACGGAACCGGCGATAAGGTTCCGGAGACAGCTGGTGCGTGTGCCAGAATAAATCCACGTCCGATGTTGGAGTAACGGAAAGATGATTTGACGGACGAGCTAGTTTTAGAGAATTTCGATATTTCTGCTGTGCTCGTGGCAGGGTACCAATTAATTTTGATGGGGTGCTTGTAGAATGAACACAAAGGGCTGGTGAGCGCAGCCAGCATATCTTGTGCATCTCGTCGATAAAGCGCATTCCGCGAAGTACTGAGGAGTAATGAGCTGATGATGCTTGTGTCACTGGAGAGGTTGGTGTGTAGAGTGATAGCAATGTCTCTACTGCCCACTTTGGTGTGTTGCTTTCGTAGCTTGCGGTGTGGATAGCTTGGAGGAAGCGTTCGCGCGTGGTGCAGGACTCTAGGATAGGCAGTGGTAATGCTCTTGATAGGGGATATAATGCTTGTGCGAGAGCAGGGTTTGAATATGTTCCCCGTAGTCGCGACTCTCTGGTTTGGCGGAGATGAAGAAGATCGCTGCGGAGTGCGTCCACGGACGGTGCGTAGCCGCAGTCGCATCCTAGCTCTAAGCCTTGGTTGATATCTTCGGTTTGAGCAGTGGGTATGATTGGTAAATTTCTGGTGGTGTGGCAGTATGGACAGTTCATATCGTACACTAGCGGATGCGCTTTGTAACAGAGCTCTTCAAGAAGATCGGCTGATTGTCCGGAAGTCTTTTCAAAGAAGTCCCTGGCAGCAGAAGGGATGCAGTATTCGATCGTCCTGATGTCGATTGCATTAACCTAGTATATTTAGTCAACAGTGGTATATTTGAGGGCAATTGTTTAATATCCTCTTACCACTTCCTTCCAGGGGAACAGAACCCGACGCATATGAGGTACGTCCAGCCGAGAACAGTCGTCCTCGTAAATAACAGGCTGTAGCATATACGCGTGCCAGATTATCATAACATCTAGAGCAAGTATCAGCGAGTCCTGTGCAGTATATCATCGTAAAGGGGAGTAACTACCCATAGGAGGTAATAGATCTCCAGGTAGCTCCAAGAAGCCTTCCTCAGGAATCGTATTTGAAAGTTTCTGGTTGACTGCATGCCACCACGAGTAGAATCGAGGAGTAGCAACCTCCATTAGACCGGCCAATAACTGACTGTGAATTTTCTCATGGTTTGACTGCGGGTCTACACTGTTCGCCGAGAGCAAGACAAGCAGTTTTATGGCTGTCTCTCCACTGGTTGTCTTTCGCTTCCACGCCCACATAGCTTCCATTAACAGCAGATGGGCAGCTGCTTGAGCTACAGACGGGACAGAATCTTCTGCCACGTGAGACAATCCGGAAGGGCTCATAATAGATGTGTCAGGAGCAGAAGCCTCTTTCTCCTGCGTGTCCGCTTCGGCGAAGACTGGACGCTGTGTGGTTGCCAATGGGGCATCTAGAATGTTTTTGCTAGCTGGTTGAATGCCGGACAAGACTGTGGACACAATGGAGAGCACTGCCATTGTGAATTGCTTCTAGATGTAACTAGTGGCTTTTGAAACCCAGACGCAATTGCCCTTATCAGTTTCGAGAAGAGACGGTCTATATAGCATGCTTCCGGGGGCATAAGTAAATCGAATGAGTGTTGTGAAATTTAAAAATTCTATCGATGAGTAGAGGGAAGGATAATAGATAGGGCCTATTCTATCGAGTTCTAAAACACCAATTCAAGGCCCCAATAAGGACATATAGGCGTTGTTAATTAGCGATGTTTGTTGTGAATCAGTTCGTACTACCGGTTGCGGTCGCGATGATTCATCATTAGATTTGCCTGAGTCTCTCTCGGATATCGCCGATGAGACCCATCCGGACTCAGACAAGCAGGGTTTCAGTATCAGCATGACTTGTTCAATCACCAGACCCCCGCGGCTCCGAGGAAACTGTACTAATACTAGGTAGTATTACAGTCTTGGCGGATTTCCCCGGTTATGTTACACTTGAGACCCACTCATCAGCTGGGGGTAACTCAAGCATCCGCGGAGTATATGTGCCAGGCTGTCAGGCACTCTAGAAGTTTTACCACAGAGTGACCATCTGGTACCCTTGCGCTGACGCAATCACAGGAGGGCTAACCCACTTAGTGCAAGGACCGATGGGTGGCTAAGATCATAAGATGGCCCCAGAGGGTAACAAAGAACTATTCCTGTCAATCAATCAAAGTCAACGCCAAGCCCGAGCTAGGCTTTTCGGTTTCTATAGACTCTCGGGAGACCGACGGATTCTATCTTGTATCTGTATTGTACATAAGCCAAATGACAAGATAAGAGACTGGAAGAGAGGGTCGAACTTTTGTGCCCGCCCTTCCCTCAAACCGAAATCGTCGCGATCAAATGGGCGATTTGGCTCCTCTTTACGCTGCAATTAACGAATCAACTTGACGAAGCGAAGTATCAGGCACTCCTTCCCTTTCCCCACAGGTCACCACCCCCAAGATAAAGAAGTGGATTTCAAATATCTATACACATATCTATAAATATAGCCTGAATTATCTCAAAGCTGGTAGAACAATCCAGGGCACCACGCAATTCACTGGCGGTAGGAGCTTGGGATGAGTCACCGATATACTCGGTCAGCCCAATGATAGCAAAGGTGTGTGGTGTTTCTAAAGACCGAGTGAGAAAGAGCCTCAGCCCTGTAGGTGAGGGATTGGCCTTGCCACTCCGCTGCGACTCGCCCGGGGAATCTGTCGGCCAATTAATCAAAGAGATCGACGACAGTGCCGTCTAGTGGCTCTGAAGAATAGGAGTCATTCATTGTTGGAGTGGTCAGATTGGACATAAATTAATATGAAGAGATGAGCTGGGGAGGATTGCGTAGCATTGATGTCGAACGCTTCGGCGATGGGCTAAATAGCTTGATTCTCAGTATACGTAGATTATATCCACTTCTGCATCTTGGCATATCCGTTTAGGATAGGGTTTAGGTGGGTAGTTTCACGGCTGGCAGTCTGTGGCTGACATTCGATGGCTTACAGCTGGATTAGACGCTGCTGACGGGCACGAATTGCCCCGATATGTGCTTGGGGGGTTCTAAATCTCAAGTAAATGCCTGACTACAGAGACTACTGCTACCTGGTACACGTCTCATGATGCTGCCCTGATCCTAATCTAGTGCCGGAAAAGGTCCTAATAGCGCCTTGTTCCGTCGGCCTATAGCAAGTGCCAGATAACGCGTACTACCCCTGCATCAACTCCCAGCTGGTATTTGGGGCTTGCTGGACAAAATGGCGTGTGCGCTAGCGACTGCACTTATAACGCAACTTCACCGTCAGCTCTTGAACCTCTTCCTTCCCCTTCTCTTTTCCCCGAGAGAGTAGAGACCCGGAGGAGCGGGATCCGACGTTCTCAAAATGCCCTTCATTAAAGGGGAGAGCAATATGCTCCACTTCGACCAAAAGCAATTTGACTTCAACCTTCAATTCGAGACTCTCTTTTTCTCGATTATTCCTTCCATCCTATTTATTCCATCATCGCTATGGCGAACTCTAGCAGGGATACGCAGGCCCGTCGTGGTGAATGCACCCGTCTTGCAGTTCATCAAAATAGTACGTCCTCTATCACTGGGTAAACGGTTTCTGCCCACTGACTGCTTAGGGGGCCATCGTAATCTACGCTGGCTTAGAACTTGCTCTCCTCATTCTCGCCGCAGTCGGCTCCTTTCACATTAGCCGCATGTTTATCGCTTCTTCCGTTCTCCAGCTGCTATCAGCCCTGTTTATGCTGACAGTGAGTATGGTGGACCACAGCCGCAGCCCTAGACCCTCCATGCTGCTGAACAGCTACTTGTTTCTTACTCTACTCCTGGACATTGCCCGAGCAAGAACTCTATTCCTGTCGTCAGACTACATTTCCGAGGTCGCATATAGCAATTTATTCTGTGCATCGGTCGGGCTGAAGACCGCCATCTTGGTGCTAGAGGCCTGCCAGAAGGCGAAATGGGTGGTCTGGGATGCAACGAAACACAGCCCCGAGGAGACGAGTGGGATATTCTCCCTAGGTGTTTTCTTCTGGCTGAACAAGCTCTTCTTGGTTGGGTATAGACATACCTTCACCATCGAAAGCCTCTACCCTCTTGACAGTACCTTCGACGCACAAGCCCTGCATGAGAAATTCGCGAGAAAAATGGACTATACCAAGCTAAAGGGGGATAAATTCGGCCTTCTGAAGGTGCTAGTACGTACATTGTGGGTGCAACTACTCCTTCCTATTCCTCCGAGGGCGGCTTTGGTTGCGTTCTACATCTGCCAACCTCTATTCATCGAAAGCCTCGTCACGTATTTGTCTCAATCGGAGCCCGGTCCAAATGTGGGATATGGGCTTATCGGCGCTGCCATACTCATCTATTCCGGGATTGCATATCTCGTACGGCTTGTACTGGTATTGCCACCATCGACTGCGGACAATGGCCCGCTCCATCCTAGTCACTGAGACGTTTAAAGCCGCCACCAGAGCTCGGATGGGATCAGGTGATGATAACGCTGCGCTGACACTTATGAGCACCGATATGGAACGCATCCGAATGGGGCTTCGCTTCGTGCACGAGACATGGGCGAGCTTGATTCAGGCTGGTCTCGCCGCCTGGCTGCTCTATCGGAAACTTGGGGTCGTGTTCGTTGCTCCTGTAGGCGTGGTGGTAATCTGCTTCGTTGGATTAGGAATTCTAATCAATTTCACTGGGGACTCACAGCGGTCTTGGATGTCTGGGGTCCAGAAGCGAGTCGGGCTTACAGCCACCGTCATTGCCAGCATGAAATCACTCAAGGTATCCGGTCTTGCTGGCCCCGTGACGGAGTATGTGCAGCAGCTGCGTGTCGATGAACTCGCCGCTGGTGCCCGATACCGCAGGATCATGATCATCGCCGCTGTCTTCGCATTTATGCCGCAGTTGATCAGCCCTCCGTTAACCTTCGCGTTTGCCCAAAAGACGCTGAATGCCTCGACCATGTTCACCGGTCTTTCATTCCTGACTTTGTTGACCCAGCCGCTGTCGCAGCTCTTCCAGTCCGTCCCAGAGCTGGTTTCAGGCTTGGCCTGCCTGGGTCGGATTCAGGCATTTTTGGAATTGGAGCCTCGTCGGGACTATCGGCAGCCCCTGGTAGAAGCCCAGAGTGGCGGCTTGGAGAATAATTCCAATTATATCGTCATCCGAGCCGCGAGCTTTGGATGGAAATCAGACAAGTTTGTCCTGAATAATATCCATACTCAAATTCCCACATCGTCCCTCACGATGGTCGTTGGTCCAGTTGGCTCAGGAAAATCCACATTCTGCAAGGCCCTTCTAGGTGAGATGCCCTTCAGCCAAGGTAGCATCGCGATGCAAACTTCCCCACGCCACGTCGGCTTCTGTGAACAAACTGCTTTTCTGTGGAACGGTACAATCCGAGAGAACATCGTCGGATTTGCCCCTTTTGACCGCGAGCGGTATGACCAAGTCATTGAAGCCACTTCCCTGCGCTTCGACCTCGCTACCCTGCCCCAGGGGGACCAGACGAACATCGGGTCGGATGGTGTGGCATTATCGGGCGGGCAGAAACAGCGTCTGTCTCTTGCGCGAGCACTATACCTACCATCCAACCTTTTGGTCTTGGATGATGTATTTAGTGGCCTGGACGCTGATACTGAGGAAAAAGTCTTTCGACAGGTCTTTGGATCAGATGGTCTCCTGCGACAACGGGGATCAACGGTGGTTCTGTGCACCCATAGTGTTCGGCATCTCCCAAGCGCGGACTACATCATCGTCCTCGGAAACGGCAGCGTTGAAGAGCAAGGCACCTTCATTGATTTGTCCACCCGTCCGGGTTATGTTCGGCGTTTGAAGGTGGGACTAAAGCAAGAGGGCGAGGATAATAATATCGCTGACGATGAGCCTGGTCCTGGTCCGTATCAGGAACATAAAGACCAGGCGGAGGCTGACAAGAAACTCCAACATGAAATCACTGTCAACAGCACGCAATCATCCACCCCAATTACCCCAGTTGTGGCCGCCGCGCGGCAGGTAGGTGACGCCACCGTCTATAAGCTATATCTGAAAAGCATGGGATGGTTTGTGGCGGCTTGTAGTCTTTTCTTTGCGGCCCTGTGGGGTCTGTTCACCAATTATCCAACGATCTGTGCGTCTCTGCTGCTCCCCTCCATCTCCAATGTCCTTGATAACTCATTGTATCAATGCAGGGCTCACATACTGGAGTGACGCGACCGACTCCGTCCATCCTGCGCACTCCCACTCCTACTATGCGGGCATCTATGCCCTCCTGCAGGTCTGCGCCATCCTCGCCCTCCTCCTCCTAGGGGTAACGCTCTTCATTATCTCGGTAAAGAAAGCCGGCGCCAATCTCCACCAGCAAGCCTTGCGTACCCTGATTCGTGCCCCGCTCGCCTTCTTCACTAATACCGACACCGGAGTGGTCACGAATCTCTTCTCTCAGGATCTCAACCTCATCGACACTGAACTCCCCGAGGCGACCCTCAACACCCTCTTTTGCGTATTCCAGTCGATTGGCCAAGCCGCCGTGATGCTTACCTCGTCCGTCTACCTAGCCATCAGCTACCCGATCCTGGGCGCCTTGCTCTACTTCGTGCAGAAATACTACCTCCGTACGTCGCGGCAGCTACGATTGCTCGACCTGGAGGCCAAGAGCCCGCTGTACACACATTTTCTTGACACTCTCAAAGGGATTGCCACGCTGCGCGCCTTCGGATTCGTTCCGGAGGACATCCACAAGAACACCCGTCTAGTGGACTCCAGCCAGCGCGCGGCGTATCTCCTTCTTATGATCCAGGAGTGGCTGAATCTGGTGCTTAATCTTGTTGTGATGGTCATCGCGGCGGTCCTGACCACGCTGGCCGTCCGGCTACATTCCAACTCGGCCTTCGCCGGTGCATCCATGTACTCGCTCATGACCTTCGGCGAGAGCCTATCCGGGATCGTGATTTTTTACACCCGACTCGAAACCTCCATCGGCGCGATCGCACGACTGAAGACCTTCAACGAGACCGTCAAGCCAGAGGACCGTGACGGTCCCGGAGAGGAGGACATCGTCCCAGACACAAACTGGCCGGATCGCGGGCTGGTCGAGTTGCGCGGTGTATCCGCCCAGTACAAATCCACCACCCATAGCGTGTCTGAATCTGACTCTGAATCCAACTCCAACTGCATGGCAACAACGTCTGGTGCCACCACTACTGAGCCACAAACCTTAGCCTTGAGGAACATCACTTTAACCATCTCCCCAGGGGAAAAGGTCGCCATTTGCGGCCGCACCGGCAGCGGCAAGTCCAGCCTCCTCGCTCTCCTGTTGAAATTACTCGATCCACTTTCCTCTCCTCCAATCGACCATGAGAGCAGCAGTCTCAATGATGACCAAGGTCGTCAGAGCGCTCCGGTCTTGATCGACGAACTCCCACTGCACCGCATCCACCGCGCGACTCTCCGCCAACGCCTCATCGCCGTCCCCCAGGACCCCGTTTTCCTGCCCGACGGTTCCTCCTTCCTGGCGAATCTCGACCCAACCAACACTGCAACCCCGGCGGAGTGTCAGCAAGTTCTAGAAGCGGTCCGGCTGTGGAAATTCGTGCAAGAACGGGCAGAGGGGCTGCTCGCGCCGGTCACGGCGGGGACTTGGAGCGCTGGGCAGAGGCAGCTCTTCTCGCTGGGACGGGCAGTCCTCCGAGCTAAGATTCGCCAGCGTGCACAGTCTTTATCCTTTCCCAACGATGCGGGATCCAACAATGCAGCGCAAGGGGGAGGAATACTCCTCCTCGATGAGGTAAGCTCCAGCGTGGACCGCGAGACCGAGCGAATGATGCAGGAGATCATTCGGGCAGAGTTTCGGGCGTACACCATCATCGCGGTCAGCCATCGGCTCGAGATGATCATGGACTTTGATCGGGTAGTAGTGATGGACCGCGGGGAGGTCGTTGAGGTAGGGAATCCGGTAGCCCTAAAAGAGGCGTCTGGTACGAGATTTGGGGAATTGGTAGCCGCCGCTGGGGCGTAGGCAACTTCTCATTATTCTTCTTAATTTGACTACTAGCTTCTACCCAGGCACAACTTGATTTACTTTAAATGGAATCATAGTTATATTTAATTGTACCGTTGACGGCGAAATACAATCGAACACCGACCAAGCACTAAGAGACAACAGGCACATTCGCACTCGCAGCGTCCAAAACTGTCCTACAAGCCCCCGCAAAAACGCGCATACAGCCCTAGTAAATGCCGTCGACTGACTCTCGAACGCATCAGCAGATAGCCAATCCACGAAGCCTCCCCCAGCCGAAGAAACCACCCGATACAAGGAACGAGTTCAATATGCAAATAAGCCACAACTATTACATACACAATGAGTAGCAGTATCTGCGGCTATACTCCAAAGGTGCAGTGCAGTACCTCGGCCGATTTGATGTTCCTCCCTTCCGTCCCGCCCCTCGCCGAGCCGACCAATCAGAAACCTCCATTTTATCCTGTCCTTTCTATATAATTCAAAGTAAAGAAGTAACTGGTGCCTTCGGGCATTTGGTCAATTTGAAACGATACAGAGAAGATTAGCATGGCCCCTGCACTAAGGATGACACGCTCAATCAAAGAGAAGCTACCAGTTTTTTTTGCAACTTTTACAGACGCCTTTTGAGAGGTATGCTGTTTTTGTGCTCTCAGGTGTGGTTTGTAGAGCGCGGGGGTTCGAGTCGCGGTGGAGTTAGTAGGTCTTTTTCTCCCACCCCCTTTTCCTCCCTCTTTTCGCTTATGGGACAGTTGGTCAGCAGCACTATATGGGATGATGTTTCAAGGGTCACTGGGTTCTGGATGATATAGGGGCCAGAAGAAGACGTCAGGTTCAAGTAATACTTCATTCATAATCGGGAGTTGTCATATGCACAGACATCATGAGGGATGACTACAATTCAAGGGGGTCGATTGAATTTTTCCTTACGATGCATAAAGTTGGTCTCTACAATGCGCAGTTAGAAAGAAAGGATGCTATTCGACCCATTACTCCTTGTTCAACTTCAGCTTCTGGTCTGATCAGGAGAATAGTAATGACCGACAGGTACGTCGCACTAAAACTCCGGGGTCATCAATGTCGAGCATGTGGCTTCCGATTATTTGCTATGGACTGCCACAGCCCAGGTTCCTGCATTTTGTAGCGCGGACTAAAGAATCCTTTTGTGTTTTACGCACACAGTCAGGTCTTAGTGACGGGCCTTATACCGAGGTGGGCAGTGCCACCGTGGGGCCTGGACGGCAAGTTTAATTGTCGTACGTAGGCCTGCGCGGGGTAGTTAATTAAGACTTTTGAAGTAGGTGATAGATGGTGGCTTTATACTTGCATCTTAAAGGTTATTCTCGAACTTTCTGGCCCGACATATCCGGCTCCGTACTGCAGTCTCTCTGATTACTGAGGTGGAATAGTTGGTAGTGTGATAGTAACTCACGTGTTTTGAAACCCTCGCTGACGATGTAGAGGCATATTATTCTTGCGCTGGTGGAGATACTCATTTTTTTAGGGGTCCACCATGATTGTACATACCTTGATGTTCGGTGTGACAAACCCCTTGTTACTATTCAGACGGCGGACGCGCCGAGCCGAGTTTCAGGAACGGCTTGAATCGAAACGATTCAATGCCACCTTCGGCGGAGGCTACACCTTTTCAGGCAATCCTTGCTGCTTTAGAGCGGATATCTCCGTTTCTGGTGAATATAGGTTGATGCACCTTATTTGGAGCGGCTTGGCTGATTGTGAAGGAAGGCCATCGCCGAGCCCTGGATTGGAAATTACATCCGAGCCGTGCAAGCTAGCCTGTTGCCGGGAATAATCATGTCTTTTGTACTGAGTCATGGTCGTTGATGATCAGTTCTAAATGAGCAGAACTAGGTTAGCCTGCGGGGTTATAATCACACTGCCTTATAGAGTTGTAGAATGAAGGTTCCTGCAATGAGACGCTCGGTCATGTTGGCCTGAATGATCGACATGCCAGTATTCAGTTTAGTTCACCTAAACACTGCACAAAAACGGATACTAAACGGATACTAAGGACACTTAATTGCTTTGAATCATGGCGGGTTCCGCGCCGCTCCTAGTTATATCCGCTTGGGATGGCTGGCTTTGAACTAACACGCATCCTTGCAAAGCAGCCAGGGGCAATCAGAACCTTCTATCGGATCAGGTGGACGCAATTGCTATATATACATAGTTCTGCTCGATTCTAGGCAACGATATTAGTTTATGATAACGAGCATGGAACTCCGAGTCTTCTTATTGACAACACTTACAATAATCCGAAGTTGGACCCTCAAACCCGTTGAGGGACTGAATAAGGTGACGGGCTGGACTGGGCATTCGGTGGAACGAACCCACTATAGACTAAATGATGGACATGCTCGGCTTCCCAGTTGGTGCGGGTGGAGAACGGCGGCCATCCCTCGACGGTCATAAACGCGCGTTGAAGGATGTTGCAGAACGGCCCATGTTGATTAACGCCAACTCTAATCAGATAGGCTCCGTGGATGGGAATTAAAGGACAGGACAGAAGACGGCCTAGTGGAAATTGTCATTGCCATTCATCCTCATGCTTATTTATTTATAGTGGGGGACAATCAACCTGGTTATTATTACCTGCTTTTTCTCGTGGCAGCTGGCCTGCTTTCCATTCGCCTTGTTCCATGGAATTGAGCTTAACTTATCCCCTATTGTTCACTTTTCATTAAGCCTGTCTGGCCTTTATCCTAATAATATTTAGTCTGTCAGCCACTTCAGCCGGTATTCCATCGCAATACCCTGCTGATGTCATTCCAGTCAATATCATACAATGCAGGTCCCGGTATTCTGGCACTCAATTGGACGGCGGCGGCCATCGCCATCCTGGTCATGATCCTGCGAGTCATTGCCAAAATCCGCATTCGACACTATGCAGTGAATGACACGGCTATGTTATGTGCGCTGGTTGGTTCCACCCAATTGGCGAAAGCCATCCTCAGCTGATTCTGGCGCATCAGGTACTAGCTCTGGCAGCATCCATCATGATCACTTTGGCTATTGCCCATGGCTACGGGCGACACTTTTGGTACCTGAGCCAGGCGGATCAGGTGCTGGCCTTGAAATATTACACGGGCTTCCAATGTCTATCGATAATCGCCACTGGCGCTGGAAGAGCTGCCTTTACGCTTTACTTGTTAAATATCCTACGTCAAGAAAGGTATCTAGGATGGATTCTGTGGTTCGTCTTTGCGCTGCAGATCATCATCAATATTGTCTCGGTGGCTACCATCCTTGCGCAGTGTCAGGACATTGACTCTCTGTGGGATGTGCGTGTGAGCACGACATGCTGGGATCCAAACGTCGAGCGTATCTATGGCTATGTGCAGTGCTGTATGTTGATTGACCCAACCAGAAAGAAAGAGGACACTGACAGGTATCAAAAAGCGATCAATACTGCATCCGACCTATTCCTTGCCGTCTTCCCAACCTACACTTTCTGGAGCTTAAGCTTGAAACTGCGCGTCAAGATTAGCCTCGTCGTGTTGATGGGCTTTGGTTTAGTGTTCGTATTCTTTCGACAAGTGGCTTGCATATTATCTCAGATCGCTAACTACTCCCTCACAGAGCTATGGTGGCCTCGATCATGCGAATCGTCCACCTGGAATCTATCGCTGAGCGTGGCGACCCAACTGCAGCGACGGTGCAACTCACTCGATGGGCGCTGGCGGAGTGTTACCTTGTTATTATCACGGCCTCCATGCCATGCATTCGGTCCCTGATTATTGCGTCTGTCCGAAATATCTCGAGTGGCAACGGTTTGCGAGTAGTCGGATCACAATACAAAATCAGTCCGCCAATTCCCCGCCGCGCCGAATACAGCACCTGGGCGGATGCACCGCCACCACACAGTCGAGAATATATTCTAAACAGCTATCCTATGGAGCGGGAACGAATTGGTGGGCGCGCGATCACCAAACAGGTGGATATCACGGTGATCAGGAATCGCTCGAGGAGCACGAGGAACGGGTAACTATCGCCAGTCATGATGAGCTATGTATATATTTATGTCTGGTATCACTACCAGTGGTTATGTGTGATGGACCGTGATGAATTATATATATTCACCCTACTATGATACTAGTACCGTGTGATGATGATCTGACAAATAAAACCTGAATCGGTGGTATGAATGCTTGTCGCCTTTCGATCTTCGGGTACACCGGACCCCTGAAATCACTGTTGTGGTCAACCCCAAAGACCAGCCATGGTTCCAGGAATTCAAGGCCGTTGATTGCCGAATGCCGGCCAATTCCTCGGCGTGGATGTGGAGAGACGGGCGGCGGGCGATCCGTGGCGACTCTCCACCACTCTTCTCACCAACAAGCGTTCACTAACCCCAACCCCGGCTTGCGGGCTTATCTTTGCAGTGCCGAGGGCCGAGCAACTTGCTCCCTGCGCTCTCTTAAACAGCGGTCTATCATTCCATTCCTCTCTCCTTCCTTCATCCCTCACTCACGGGCGCATATACAAGAGACCATATACAAGAGACCATCTCCCCTTCTTATTTTTACCTTCGTGATCGCCCATTCCTGTACAACCCTGCGCCATTAATTCCCCGATCTCCCTCTTCTCTTCCCCGGCCTTTTTTCCCCGCACAACTCCGCCATGCCTGTCTCCTCACGCTACCCCCCCGTCGACATTCCAGACCTTGACATCTGGTCTTTTCTATTCGAACGCAAAGATAAGCCTTTTCCAGATGATAAGGGTATGTATATCACCTGTCAACCTTCACAACTCCCCATGCGAACCACTATAATCAACTTATCTACTTGCGCGACCGGTATACTTCGTTCAAAAATTCCCCGCTGACATCATGCAGTAATCTACCAAGATGCGGACACACAACGATCCTACACATACCAACAAGTCAAAGATGCTGCCCTCACCTTCGGCAAGGGCCTCAAGGCCACCTTTGACTGGAAGAAGGGCGACGTCCTGGCCCTCTTCACCCCGAACAGCATCGACACCCCGGCCGTGATGTGGGGTGCTATCTGGGCCGGCGGCATCGTGTCGCCATCCAACCCAGCCTACACAGCTGAAGAGCTGGCCTTCCAGCTCAAGAACTCCGGCGCCAAAGTCCTCATCACTCAGGCGCCCTTCCTCCCGGTAGCCACCGCCGCCGCGAAGGAAGCCGGCATTCCCGAGGACGCAATCATCCTCATCGGCGACCAGCGCGACCCCCAAGCGCGCATCAAGCACTTCACCTCCATCCGCAACATCTCCGGCGCTACTCGCTTCCGCAAGCCGAAGGTCAACCCATCCCGCGACCTCGCCTTCCTGGTCTACTCCTCCGGCACGACCGGTGTCCCCAAGGGCGTGATGCTCTCGCACCGGAACATCGTCGCCAACATCCTCCAACTCGCCGAAGGCGAAGCCGGCAACCTCACCTGGAACGGCGGCGTAGACGGCACAGGAGACCGCATCCTAGCCTTCCTCCCCTTCTTCCACATCTACGGTTCGCACCCCCCTTCAACCATCTTAACTAACCAAAAAACTGACCAACAACCCAGGCCTAACCTGCCTTCTCCACCAAACCATCCACAAAGGCCTGCACCTCTACGTCATGACCAAATTCGACATCGAGCAATGGTGCTCACACGTCCAAAACTACCGCATCACATTCAGCTACGTGGTACCCCCCGTCGTCCTCCTCCTAGGCAAACACCCCATCGTCTCCAAATACGACCTCTCGACCCTCCGCATGATGAACTCCGGCGCCGCCCCTCTCACCCAAGAACTCGTCGAAGCCGTCTACGCCCGCATCAAATGCGGCATCAAGCAAGGCTACGGCCTCAGCGAAACCAGCCCTACCACTCACACCCAACCCTGGGAAGAATGGCGCTCCACCATCGGCTCCGTCGGTAAACTCCTCCCCAACATGGAAGCCAAGTACATGACCATGCCCGAGGACGCGTCCGAACCCGTTGAAGTCCCCGCCGGCGAGGTCGGCGAGCTGTACATGCGCGGCCCCAACGTCTTCCAGGGATACCACAACAACCCCGCCGCCACAGCGGAATGTCTCTCCGAGGATGGATGGTTCCGTACCGGTGACGTCGGGTTCCAGGACCCCCAGGGCAACTTCTATATCACGGATCGCGTCAAGGAACTCATCAAGTATAAGGGTTTCCAGGTGGCTCCCGCCGAGTTGGAGGGCATCTTGGTCGATAATGAGGCCGTCGATGATGTCGCGGTTATCGGAGTTGAGAGTGAGGCCCATGGTACCGAGGTGCCGCTTGCGTATGTGGTGCGGAGTGCGAAGAGCTTGAACTCCGGGGTGAGTGCTGCCCAGGAGGCGGAGAATATTGTTAAGTGGTTGGATGGGAAGGTGGCGTATCATAAGAGGCTCAGAGGGGGCGTGAGCTTTGTGAAGGAAATTCCGAAGAGTGCCAGTGGGAAGATTCTGAGGAGGCTGTTGAAGAAGAAGGCGAAGGAAGAGGGCGTTGGGGCTGGGGCTGCGGGGCCGAAGGCGAAGTTGTAGTAGTTGTTTTGTTCCTGATGGTGTCTTGGATTGTGGATAGATCTTGTGTGTGGTGTACATAGATTTATTTTTCTAATTTATTTTGGGTCTTGGATACTATGATAATGCTACTATCTAGTATTGGAACAATGATTTGATTGAATTGGTTTAGTCGTATCAACAGTCGTTGCAATATCATTATCATGAATAGTATAGCATCATCCTAAGTATCATAAGTATACGGAGTAGATTTACAATCCAAACCTCCTCACCATCCCCTCCACATCCTCCCCCTCCACAGCATCCACCCCCTCCCTCGCAACTCTCTCAACAGCACCCTCCACATCCTCCTCTCCCTCCAACAAATCCAACCACCCCTCAACATCATCCCTCGCCAGCAGCGCATCCGCCACAATGGCCACATCCTCCCTCGACACATTGGCCCTGCCCTTCTTCGTCTTCCCCAGATCCACCTTCCTCGTCGCAGGCGTATCCGTCAACGTCCCCGGTCGCAGATTAATCGCCTGCAGGGGCTGCGCGGCCCCCGCAGCAACAAGCTTCTTGCGCGCCGCCGCCAACGCAGTCATGTACTCGTCCGCTTCGAGCTTGGCCTTGGCGTATGCGGGGAGGACGTTATAGAAGACGTTTTGCAGGCCCGCCCATTCATCGTCCGATAGCCAGGTGGGTTGTTTGCGGCGGCTGCCAATCCAAGAGACGAGGAGGAATTTGCGTACGCTCGGGTGCGAGAATGAGGCGCTCAGGAAATGCTTTGCTGCTACTTCGTCGATGGCGTGCGTGCGTGCGGGTCCGCCTTTGCCGCCGGCTCCTATGGGTTTCGTGAATGGGGTGGTTAGTTTGGGTGGTTGTATTTTGGGGAACCGTTGGATGAGTGGATTGGGAGGGCGGCGTTGGATGTGATGTGTGGATTTGAGCTGGGCTTGCAGGTGTGCAGGGGATAGGATTGTGGGTATGTTTCAATCCCAACCACGGCTTTTTGCATGGGTTGGCGCATCACATACCTGCAGACCAGACGACATAGTCTGGGGAAACGCGGTCGAGTATGTTCTTGGCATCGGCGTCGCTTTTCACATCGTCGAGACTGGAGAGGAGGACATTCAGTTTGCCTTTGGCGCCTTTGCCTAGAGCGAGGATCTCGTTCTCGTGCTCGGCGTTGCGGATGACGCTGGTGACGTTCCAGGAGCGGGCGAGGAGAAGCGGGGTCAGTTGCAGGGCTACTTTGCCGTGGCCGCCTAACAGGAGGACTTGCATGGCGGTGATGGATCTGTCGAATTGATTGATATGTTAGATAGAGCTGGATCAGTTAGTGGCAATATGATAGAGAAAATTGAGAGCTGGTGTGTTTGAGCTTGATGCTCCAGAGCTGGAGCTTGTTTTGTTAAGGCCCGGCTCGGTGCGGAGAACGGATTAGTAATGCCGAGAGGGGTTGATGTTTTTAAGCTGTTGGCTGTTAACTACTGTAAGAAGATACTGTAGTAGTAATCAGTGGTTACACCGCGGTCGGATGGCGTCATGTGGGTGACCGTCTGTTTTGTCTACGGCGTTCAATGCACACGCAAAGTGTCACAGCTCTGCAGGCAGCAGCTCTTCTAACTTTGCTCCTACGATGTTGTGTTCGTGCACAATGTCTTAGGTGCTGCAAGGGCGAGTGTGGGATCGGAACCCCATTGTCCTTTGCAGCAAACATCTCCATGGCAGCCAGCCAGCCATCTGTTCGATAGAGATCCGCCTTGCGATGCCCCTTGATAAAACAATCTGTGTTGATGGTGTGGTTGTCGATCAGACGAGCCTTGCCAGGAGCCGGATTCAAGGCTGGCCTGTTGCTAATCGGCAATCAGGGTGTGCGTATCACACTAGGATGTTCCAGGAGCACATCTCTCCTCAATAATGCGTAAAGTTCCAGACCAAGACCAGGTAGATGGCATGGGGATATGAAAGGAACTCGCATCTCTAACCCCCGCTGGAAGTGAAACACCGGCCGATCGGTTGGAAGGAGAAGTTATTTCCGCGCGAAGCTTGAGCAGCGGACGATTTGGATCCCAGGACCCAGTCGATCGGGGATGGATTGGTCCTCTCTCTCTCATCTCTTCCTCAGCGTGAAAAGAACCTCGAGCTGTGGCCGATGCTCGCTCATAATAATAGCGGAAATTATTCGTTCGTTTGTTAGCTAGTGATCTAGTAAGTTAGTGGATGTCTGGAACCTAGGTTGAATGGGATTAGTCAGAAAAGCTGTTCTCTTCTTTTCCCCTCTTCATTATGGATCTCGGAAATTGAATTAATTTAGGGAAGGTCGAAAGGACTGATCTGGAACCCTCGGGAGGAGTCGAGGATTCTTGGTTGGGCCTTTCTTGGGTCTGGTCCACTACCGGTTAGCGATAATTCCAGCGCGGGAAGAGATGGGGGTGTTGTGCCTGGACCTTGGCAGCGTCTTCTTGTTCTTGCCTTGTCTTGTTTATACTAGATGAATTGAATGACAGGCTGCAGGAGAAGATGGAGACGCGGGATGGGGACGAGATTAATGACTTCATGATGATGTGGCTGACTATAGTCGATGTGATTTACTCCAGTTATGATTGTTCTTATCTTATGCCGCGTATGCTAAGCCAAGTAAGTAAGATGAATGATTATTGCAGTGCACCCACCGACGTCGTGCCTGTGCCTTTCTTTGTTTGTTTGTCTGTGCCAGAGTTCTACCGAACAAGCGGAGATAATCCGGCCCAAGTCCCGTCTGGTCTGCCACTACCGGACTCTCTTCTACAAATCTTACCCATTAGCTTCATTGCAAATACTTACTGTGTGCTCACGAAAATTCCTGATAATCTCTCCTCCCTTTCCACTGTGTACTATCAGTCAGTAGTGCCTAGTTTCCGTACCACCGGGCGTAATGACTAACCAGAATATGGTCTAGTCAGGGGCACGACTGGCTGGCTGACAGACTGCTAGTCTGACTGCTGGCTTGATCCTGTGACTTGACTTTAATTCCCCTCGGGGTGAGGCTGCTCTCTCCTGGGAAAGCCCCATCCGAATAAAGGCGGTACCATACCCGTAAGGAGGAGGTAAAAGTAGAGCTAGTTGGTCATCAAAATCCAAAGTAGGTTCGACCATCCAACGGCTGTCAATTTCTTTCCCGAAACCAGACCCGTGACCCTGACTCGGTCACTCTACTTTTTCTGCCTTGCTATCTCCATTCTCTAAGCATCCACCAAATGCTTAGGTTCACCAGGAATATCAATGGAGACCGTGGATGACGCACTGGATCTCGAACCTCACAAACCGGTCCACCTTAACCAAAAGCCTGATGAACCATGCCGCCTGGTCCGCACGAGAATCCGGTTCCCAGTCTGATTAGTCAGGACTATCACTTGTCGGAGCATGAACTTTCTCGAGAGACGGTTCGGTTTAAGGTGCTCCTCAGGGTTATATCCCCATGCTGCCAGACTTGCCTTGCTGATGGCCCTGTTTGGCTAGCGAGTCATGCTGGACCTCTTGTTTGCCCCCTCTCTCAAAGAGGGGTATGCGCTATTTCATGCATGTTCGATTATGGCACTGGTGCGCTCCACGGAGTACTCCGGACTTACAGTATCTAAATCAGTGTTTGACATTGGTATGGCGCGGGAGGAGAGCTCAGATTGCGGAGCACTTCGTATGCTTTGATCGCGACTAGCTGCATCGGATCCATGGCCATGCAGGAGGACTGCAGGCCATGTACTCCGATTGCGTCCGTGAGTCTATCTAGGACGCGATAACCGTCTACTAATGCCGATGATATCAAATACTCGCGTCGACAGTAGCGTGGGGACAGACACCTCCGACTAATCCTACTATCGATCCAGTAATATGATGGTGGTGACATGGTGTAGTCTACCCGACGGCAGTCGAAATGATCGTCCCGCTCGTCCAAATTTCCGGAACTCCTCTAGCGGTCTTGGGACAAAGTTCAAAAGGCATGAAACAGCATCCGATAGATAGGTCATATTTCCGCGAGGGTGAGGTGGAAGAAAGTCCCATTTCAGCTGGTCACTTCAGATTTTTGCCTCTGAAGGTAGCCCCCGATTGCCTGATGAAGAGGGTCCCTGAAGGCAGCAGTTGCTTCACTAGATTTCAGAAAACCACCAATGAAGTTTGTTTGAGGGGGGCGCACATCACAGCGTTAAGTGTAGGGTGCCCTGAGCAATACTAGCCACTTAACTACTTGATTCAGTAGTACTCGAGGTCGCGAGGACTTTTTTGAGGCTTAGGCTTCAGCCCTCAGCCCCAGATCGGCCCACATCCCGTGAGACGCGGTCATAAATGATTGTGTAAGTGAAATGTTTTCGTTGTCTTTACTTTCCGTAAACGAGATTGGGTTTCCGGTACATGATGAAAGAGAGGGATATTAAGATTGCTGTTTGTTGCACAATCCCAAAGTTAAGATGGCATTTATAAGTAGTAAGTTATAAGAAAGGTCGGCGAGGAGTGGTTGTTCAGTTGTCATCAGTAAGAGAAGAGAAACAAAACAAACCTTGGCAGGTACTCTATCTAAGTAAGTAACCTCCTTCCCAGCCAGTGCCAGGGACGACAATACGGTAATAGGAGAGGTAAGTAAGGTACCCGACCAGGACCCAGTGACCAGAGCTCCATCCGATTTGCAGTTCATTTCATGGTTGGTGGAGCCTGCAAGGGGCAATTGGGTCCTGGTCGGCGGTACCGTACGGTATGGACAAGACTCATCCATGGACTTCGTGACAGTTTAATCTGTTTCGGGTTCTGTTATGATCCAGGCACCGGAGCACAAGTGGAGTCGGTGCCTGAGGGGAAATATTGTGGTCTGCCCCCAGTTTCCAGCTGGCTGAATATTCGAGGTTAAGAAGTAACTAGCAGTAGCTATTTTGCGAGCAGTTTCCTCACAAGATTGGTTATCAATTGCGGTGAAGAATAAGTAAGAAAAAAAGAAACAACATAATAAGGACAGCCACGCTGCACTGAAAATTCGGCCGTCGGAAGATGAAAAAGACACATTGAAATGGGATTGGAAAACTGGCCAGCGAATCTCGTGTCGATCCGCTTTGGGTTCCAGCGACCATCGCAGCGCTGGCCAATTGGGCCCAATAATGCGATCCCACATAATAATAAATAATAATAATTCAATCCAGTCATTCAGAATCATAATCCACTTTCCACGCTTCTGCTTCCCCCCCGTCAGCTTGTGAGGGACGGAGAGAAGTCTGAAAAGTGGTAGTCCATTGAGTCAATGTCAAATCATTGGCTTTGGTTAAACAGGCAGTAGAAAAAAAGAAAATAGAAAATGGAATAATACTTTGGAACCTGAGATGGGCAAAATGAGAAATTTGGGAAAATAAGACCAATACAGTAAACCCCATCAAGAAAAATAAAGGGTAACCAGAATGACGATCGAAAGGAATCCAGATCCCTTCTTTTTTTTCTAGTCTTCCATACCTTCCAAAGCGATCGTTGCTCTTTTTTTTCCCATTTGATTTTATTTTGCATTCTACTCTCTCGCCTTCCTCCAGCTCTCTCTCTCTCTCTCTCTCTCTTCCTCTCTTTTCTTTTCTCTCTTGCATTGCTTTCTCGCGTCGCATACTTTTCGGTCACTGTCTCTCCTTCCCCCTTCACCCCCTCATCCTCTTCCATATTACCGGAACCACATTCGTTATTCAATCGCGCTTTCAACGCCGTCCCCTCAAACTATCGACTCCAGCAATCAATTTCTTGGGGGTCACTCTCCACCGGATAGTATCCAACCGGCTTCAGCATCAAATAGTAATAATCGACTTACTCCGCTTCCGCTGTCGACGGTGCAGCCACATTCCTTACCCGGCTCATGCAGACGCCCCTTCTGTCCAATCCGACCGATATTAGCATCTATCCTTAGTTCTTGGACTTGGTATCTTCATCGCTAGCAATTACTATTTCTCTCGCGCATTATCGACCTAAAACCAGCCCACCCGGCAAGCGACGCTTACTATTGGCAATTGGCTCAACTCCTCCTCCGTTACACTGGCATTCCCAGGGGATGACCGGGAATTTGGAATAGCGTCCATTCCTCGAGCTATTCCACCACCACCACCCTCGTCCCATCCATTCGCTCATTTCCTCTTGCTCTAGCTCTCACCTGGTAGGTTCAAGACCCATTGAGCACCCTTCCATTGTGCAACCTCAGCGTATCTGACGGCTTGGATCTTATCCAGGATTGGCTCTTCGGTGTAGGTGTCGGATCGACCGTCACTCCTTTACGCCGTGAACTTCGACTGTCGGATCTCCACCCCCTACGATCGCCTTGACTGTCGCTCTCTACACCCCCCCGTCACACCATCATGAACCGATTTCGCAAGACAAAGAAGGAGAAGGTGAGGGAAGATGGCGAGTACTCCGAAGCCAGCTCGGTCAGCCTCAGCTCCATGTTATCGAAGAAGTCCAAGAAGGAGGAACCCGAGGAAAAGCAAGACTTCGACCTTTCCAATGCATTGCCCTCGACCGACGACTTTCGCACCAGTCTACTGATGCCCAAACTCTCCGCACGATTCAGCATGTTGAGGGAACAAGATGATCCGGAATCGATGATCGGAAAAGCCAGCGACGACAGTGTGCTCTTCCCCCGGCGTGCTTCGCGATTGAACCTCTTTGGCCACAACCCCAGCCTCCTGTCGGACATTGACGAGGTCTCCATTGACGGCAGTCGGCCGTCGATGAACCTTGGGCGCACTCACTCTCTCGCCTCGGATAGCAATAATGGATATGGTACGGACGACGATCCTTCCCAGCAGGGCAGCATTATGAGCAGGGCTCGTCGAGCTGAGGGCAACAACTTGTTCGGCGGACGACAAAAGGTGTACAAGATTCCCTCCTCCAAGACGACCTCAGGAGGGAATTCAGAATCCGGACGGATGGGTGGCCGTGCGCTCTATGACCATGATTTAACCATGTCATCATTTCAACGACTGAAGATAGCCGAGCGCGATAATGCGGCGACAGAGGACACACCGCAGGACAGTCCGACTCAGGAATCAGAGGATGCACTATCGAGCGCTGGTTCCACAAAGCGAACAACTTTCTCCTCAACGGCATCTGGGCCCATTTCGAATGGGCGTACATCAACAGCGGCAACATCTTTCGACGAGCAATCTTTTATCGCACCTCCGTCGCAAACAAATGCGGCGGACACGCAAGCCCCCCAGTCTAAGCCGCCAGTGCCGAACATGGCTCCTGAGCGTGGCTCGGTCAAAGCCCGCCGTCTGTATGGACAAGGTTTAGCACAGTCAGCTCAGAACCAGCAGACCTCCACCTTGCAACGACTAGAAAGCCTGAGCCGCCAGCGCGGAGCGGGTCCAGAATTGCCTCCCCTGAACCGTGCCTTTTCTAGAAGCGCCACGAACTTACGCGATAGGCTGCAGCCACTCACTATTGCCGAACCAGCCGGCACCAATTTGCGGCCGACCAGCCCTCCCTCGCTGCCCAGGTCGCCAGAACAGTCTGCCCGATTGAATCCCAGGGAACCGCAAACTCAAGCAGATTCTGCGTACGGTGCCCCTCCGCTGAGTCCTCCCGCCAGCGAGAATGAGGATAAAGCCCCCCTGATGGCCGCTCTGAACCCTGAAGATCATGGGAAAGCCACAGCAGCCGGCCTATTCAACAAACCCAACAGCATGTTTGACGAGAGCCAGTTTACACGACGTCAGTTGCAAATGCATCAGGGAAGAAGCACGCCGCCTCTAGGGCGACTACCTCCCCTGCCTGCCCAGGCTATTCCCCAAGAGCGCGCCGGCCGTGCCAGAGGGCTTTCCAACACGAGCTATGCGTCCAGACCCGGCTCTGCATCTTCTCACTATAGCGAGGCTCAACGGCCAGACAGCCGATCCGCGGTCAACTCCCCTCCTACAAGAAATGACAATGGCACGTTCTTCTCCAACCCCAGTCCTAGTGACTCGGAGGATGACGGCGGTGCTTCCCGCTACGCCACTGACGAGATCCACCCTGCGCTTCGGCCGGAGACACCCTCCAAACCATCCACTCCCACTAGTGAGCACCGGAGCCCTTTGCCTGAAGTCAGATACTCGGATCTTGGTGACTTGAAGCCTATCGCGGAAAATGAAACTGTTGAGAGTGGTCCCGGCGATGATGATGGCCTTCCTGAGAAGCCCGATTCACCCACATTGGGACCGGCTGGCCTGGGTCTGAGCGGCCTCGTTCGTACTCACTTGCGATCCAACAGTGACAGATCGTCCATTTACCCGCCTCCTTCTCCTGGCCTTCCTTCAAAACCTACCGACACCGATATCGCCGAGGAGCCGGTTTTGCAGAACCATGCGGGTGCCCAGAACAGTGCACACTGGCAGAACGAGCTTATTGCTAGGCACAGACGCGAAGGTAGCACGGAGACACAGAGGGAGCGCGAAGAATTTGCGAATGAGTTGGCCGAAAGGCGCAGGAAAGTGCAGGAGAAGCTTCGAGGATTTGCAGAGGGAGAAAGCCGGTCGGCCAGCCCTGTTTCAGGCCGCCAGACCCCGGATTTCACCCCAAGCAAACCCGGAAATGCTTTTGCCTTCCTGAAGAACAAGTCAGGGAAGCAGCATCTGAAGGGTGCAAGGGGCCTCAACCTTGCTAATGCATCCACCCCGGCTTTGGTCTCCGACGACATGTGGCGTGAAGAAGAGGAGAGACCATCGTTCAACTTTGCGAAGCACTCCAACTCCAGCTCGCCACATATTGCTGGAGAAAGATCCTTCCGCTCTAAAGTCTTCGGGCGCAGCAGCCAGGAAGATTCTCGCGAGTCTAGCCGCAGCCGCGGTGCATCTCCGCACTCCAGCTTCCGTTCTCGCCGGGACCGTTCGACCTCGGATGCCTCTGGTCGTTCCAAGAGTCGCACACGGCGAGACAGAGATGGACTGGAGACCCTGGAAGAGGTCGCTCACGGTGTTCATAGGCCGTACGCGTTCCCTGATTATGACCAACATGCTCTGGCTTCTGTCCCAGCTTCCACTCGTGCCTCCGCCGAAGTTAGCGAACCCGTCACATACGATCGGTCCGCCTCTGCCGCTTCTGGAAGATACCGCAGTGACAGTCGATCTGCGGTCTCAAGCTACCACGAACGCCCCTTTTATCCCCCAGCTCCAGCTGCTAGCACTACCTCCCTGATCGGTGCTGCTGCCCCACGGCCTTCGCCTATCGCCCCCTATTCTGCCAATGCCACACCACCTTTGGAAGATATGTCTCAAGGCCATTCGTTAACCCCGGTGACCACCAATAGCTCTACCACTGCACCTCCCCCGCGAGCTCCGGGTCATAACGCTCTCCACAAGCGACCAGTCACAAAGGCACTGATCTCCGAACCAAGATTTGTCTCCTGCACTTCGAACGTACCGACCGTTGGTCTCCCTCCTGGCGCGAGCTTGAGCAATGGCAGGGAAACGCCTCCAGTCCCGCCGATGAACCCTCGCCGCCGCCGCCAGACCACCACACAGACTATCCTTGGCGCCCTGAAGGGTGAAAGACACGAGTCGCAGTATGCGCCATCGCTCGACGCAGCCATGATGGAAGAAACCAGCAATTTCTCCGACGATGGCGAGAAGCGGCCCAGATCCCGTGCCCGACTACGCAAAACGTCCAGCGAGGGAGGCAACCTGAACGCGAAGGCCCGGCAGCAGCTTCAACACCTGATGTCTGAGGCACCGCCAGCCGTTCCTTCATACCCACCACCAAAGATTCCCATGGATGGAGGCATGTTCTAATCCTCATCCTTAAATCACGAACCTCATACAATCCTTTCTTACTCACTTCGTCCCTTCCTTCACTATTTCCCCTTTCCTTTCCATCCTCTATCTCCTTCCTTCATTCACCTACCATTCTCCGATCATGATGTATTACTCGATGTCCTGAACTAGCATTCTGCATTTTAATGTTCGATACCTCTCGTTTGGAATTCTCGCATACATCATGATATACCAACAGCGTTATGTTGAGCGGACAGGACACGTCTGTCATTGTTTCCTACTCTGTGTGTGTTCATTTTTCCATTCATTGTCATATCTCGTCTAGCGGATTTTCCTTGTGTTCTATATCATATCATACCATATCCCACCAACCCAGGTTTAGCCTATCAATACTGAAAGATAATCAAAGTTGTTAAAAACACCCTTCCTATCCCTAGTGATAATAGTAAATGACTACTTCATCGATAACCCTTCCTACAATCCCTCGTAGTATTCGCCCCGGTCCAAAAAAGCAAGCCTATCTTCAAGTCCCTTAGATTATCAACTCCAGCCACTTGTAGCAGAGTAAAAGCAGCCAACACACCAACAAACACGCCAGCCAAGCAAAGACCTCTACCAACCTAGCAATCCAGCAAGTCAGCCCAGTGAGACCAGGCACCTCTATTCACCCGTAATAAACGAATCGTCAGGCCAAAACGAGCCCAAAAATAGTAAGGTTGTGCAGAAACGAAGAACAGAGTGGGTCACGTGTTTCAGGAAGCCCTGTTCTGCACGATGTCTGCGCAAACGCTCACCACCATCTTTGTTAGGGGATTCACGTGTATATACGAGATGCATGCATTCCTTTTCTTTCATCCATGGATTTTGGGTCTTATGTGGGCTTTTTTTCGAGGTGCATATGTAGTTTGGTGATTTACTAGGGATCTAGCTATCGAACTGAATTCCTTTCAAAGGAGATAAACGAAGTATGATGGATTCTACAACGGTATCAAGATCAAGGTCTCTGTGCAGATCCGCACCCATCCCCACGGGAAGAAGTCATACTCCTATTGCATAATCGTCTAGGGGACTGAATTACCCATACGGTTGGAGATTCTAAAGCACGGAAAGCAAAGTAACAGAGAAACCGTTTTGTTTGATCAATTTAGTAAACTATCTCTCTGGGGGTGTATTTTCCATAGTGAATTAGTAAGAATGTAAACAAGATTATCTCTTTTCTTTTCTTTTCGTTTTCGTGTGTTGATTCTCTGACCACATCTATCTCTCCGAGAAATAGTACTTCAAGTAAGTAAGTCAGATTCTGAATCATCAAGGTTCTTAGGATTAGGTGAGTCGTTTAGTTGTTGATCATCATCATCAAGAAAGCTGATCGATAATCGAATCATCTCATAGTTCCCATCAATCTTTGCTGTTGATTCTGGATTGCGAAACTATTTCGATAGGCGAGGAAGAGACGCGAATTAGGTGAGTATGAATATTCTTTCGTTGTTGTGTTGTTTCTTTCTTTTCTTTCTCTTTTCTTTTCTCTTTTCTTTTCTCTTTTCTTTTCTCTTGCTCATGCCGCGTTTAGTGGTGTACGTCGTTATGCCACGTCGAAGCGAGTCTTTCTGCACGTCCGAATTACCCTGCGTCATTGAAGACCTCGACACGTACTTCTGGATCTCACGAAAGCGTGGCGAGATGGGCCCGGAAATTCGTCGGACTAAGTCTGCGGACCCTGTCCTCCCTTCCGTGCCCCAAGTGGACGGACCGACCGAACAGCTCAAGGCCACCAAGAAAAGTAAGTCGAAGAAGAAGAAGAGTAACAATAAGAAAAACAAAAACAAGGGAAAAGGCAAAGCTGTTGAGGTGGGGGTTGAGGTCGAGGACAATGTTGTTGTTGCTGTCGTTGATAGTGGCTGTGACGTGGCCAAGGAGGGACAACAACAGAAGCAGACTGAGAACGGCGATGACCATCATGATGATGATGATGTTGTTGTTGTTGCTGCTGCTACTGTGACCGCCATCTCTACTGCTGGTGGTGGTGAAGGAGTCAAGAATGGTGATAGTATGCCTCCACCCTATTCCAGCGCGGGAGAGGACACAAGCATTGGCGAGCCTGCCTCTTCGGTCGTGACCAACTCGCCGGTGGCCAGAATGGCACCGGCCGCCGAAGCAGCTGTTCTCAAGGCGAGGATCTTGGAAGCGATGAAAAGAAAAGAAAGACTCGAACGCCAAATCCAAGAGGAACGCAACTCTAGTGCTCAGGCTAGCTCATCTGTGCCTGCTAAGTCGGATACTTCGTCCATGAGCCAGCGACGACCTGACAGTGGTAGTGTCGACAATCTTTCGCACGTCAACCGTTCGCAGCACAGTCCAGTGAGTGAGGTGCGTGCTACCGGTGGCAACAATTCGCAACCTTCCACCTCAGTCGTGGACTATTCTTCTGAAGAGGCTGTACGTACTTCGGGCTCGCGATCCGATGAACCTAACAGCCAGGACCATTATCGTGCTGCTAACGACAGAGAAACTCAACAGTACTGTCGGGCTCACATGCGGGCTCCTTGCCGCTTCGATCCAAGCTGCTGTGTTCATAAGCCCATTCGAGGATGCAACTGTCCCCCGAGATCGTCTTGCTGTTGTTCGCACCACAAAGGCGACTGCTGCACTTGCTTGACATATCTCAATACTGTGTCGGCCAAGAGCGACACTGAGACACCCAGCGATGTCGGTCAAGGTATGGAAGGCAGTAGTACGGTTGCTGAACGCAACACTTCGATTGGAAAGAAAAGTGAGTTGAATGTGTAAATGACACTCTGTTCGGATTTCGAAGCTAACAGAGTGCCAGGCGTGGTAGATGAAAAGGGCAAGGGTGTGGATTCACTTTCGACACATCTCATTCAGTTGTTCGAGAGTCGTGAGCTATGCGATTTTCACTTCAAACTGACGTCGTCGAGCAATGGCTTGTACCAATCCACCATAATCCCCGTGCAGGTGGCCGTTATCGCTCGCAGCCCGTTCGTTGCCGCGCTCCTGCGGACTCAACTTTATCGGGAAGGACACCGCGAAATTGCTGTGACACTGGGTGACCAAGTCAACTTGATACAGGGATTCGAGCAAGCGATTCGCAACCTGTATGGGGCACCCCTTCTCCACGGCGAGCAGCTGAGAACCGAGGCCCTTGCAGTACTGGGGTACACAGAAGAGTCTCAAAGCATGTACCCATTCCCGATCAGAACAGCCATGCTCGATTTGGCCTTTTCATACGCTGCATCTGGTGCCTTCTTTCACGTCAGTGGCATCCTCGAGGCAGGCATCAGAATGGCACTGGAGCTGATCGACTGGAGCACTGTCGAAACAATCATCCACTTTGGTCTCCGTGTGGATAGATTCTCAATTATTCTGGAGGGCACCGAAACTCCTCCGGGCAGTCCTCGCGCCAATCATACTCGGTCCGGACATGTCCTGGTCAGAAACCGACAGCTCCGAGACATCTGGGCCCCATTGCTGGTCAGAGCCGCGTTGTCGTTCATCGCTGAGAGCATCGATGACAAGTTCGTCTTGTACTCTCAAGCCCAAAGCCTGCATGTTCCAAACCGTATCCCAGACAGCTTGAACACTGGACCTGGTGCCATAGGCTCTGAGCCGGGATCTGCCTCCGCGAACTCAACAACGACTGAGAGCAAGCCAAACCGCGAGACCTTGGTCGCCTCCGCTGTCCTGATCAGCCTCCCGTTCGTGCATCTGCAAGAGGTGTTCAGGACTTTGAGTGCACGTCGCGTACTGTCAAACAACCTCGCACAAGCGATAATGAGTGAGAGGGAATCACGACGACTGCAGGCACTGCGAGAGCTTGGCAAGAAAGGCGAGATCAATGAGAAAAACCTCCCCAGTGAGACGAAGGAGTTGGGCTATGGGGAATATCTTGTCTTCAAGAGTGTCTGCAAGCAAGGCCAAGGACCCGTGACGGTGACAACAGAAGTCAGCCTGGAGAGGGAGTGGATTGGTTGTCGGTCGCCAGACGCCAAACAGTAGCGAACCACCCCTGCTCTCCCTGATGACGTGGAAGAGAGGGGTGGCACGCCTACTTGATGCTTTGTGTGGCTCCTGTGTGCAGGTGATGAAAACAGACGAAAGGTGCTTGGGGTGGAAAGGTAGGAAGGATGAGGTGGATAACACAGGAAGGGAGAAAGATGAAGGAGCAAGCGAGAGAAGTAAAGGAAACAGAGCTGGAGCGGTGAAATGAAGCAGTATTGGGTTTTTATTTTCACATCTAGGGACTTCTTTGTGTTTTGTGCGGTCTTGTCGCTTGCTGGAGGGCGTTACTATTGCGAGATTCACTGGAGGGTGTGCACGTGTTCACATTGAATAGCCCTGGAGTATGTTTTTCGTTCTTGTTCTTTTCTGCACGGGAGTTGGCGGGCATGCCAGATGGATATCATAACAGTTTCATTTTCATTATGCACAGTAAAGTAGGAAAAATGCACAGACATCTCTGCTCTATGAGCTATACATTTCCCGAGACCATCTATACTTCTATACCTTGATTGCTAACATCTTAGACCATCGACCACTCGCCAGGAGCTTATACTCGGCCGATCTTGTCCGGGAATCCAAAGTCGAGCTTGAAAGGAGGGAAGACAAAGCGCTGGAAGGCGTTCTTCGAGGCCAGGTCATTTGTGTACTTGGCAATGGTGGCCATATCAGCATCATCTAGTGCCACCAGATTGCGGTTGCCCTCAATCCGAGAGGGGTTCACGGACTTGGCAAGGACGGAGGAGCCACGGCTGACTATACGGATGAGATAGTTAGAGATGATTCTCGCAGCATATAACATGGGAGATACGTACTGTGCCAGCTCAGCAAGACCGTGGCCGGGTCAACACCCTTCTTCTTGGCAACCTCGACGATGGGCTCTGCCGTCAGCAGTGGGCTGCCCGTGCTGCCGAGAGGGCTGTATGCGGTGATGTGAATGCCCTTCTCCTTGCAGAAGTCAACAGCCTCCTGCTGGGGCAAGCAGGGGTGGTTCTCAATCTGGTTGACGGCCGGAACCACGGTGGCTTGGGCGAGGAGCTCCTCAAGGTAGGGTCTGCTGTAGTTGCAGACACCGATGGCCTTGGTCTTTCCGCTGCCGACAAGCTTCTCCATATCCTTCCAGGTGTTGATATGGGAGTGGTTGAGGTGCAGATCGCGGGAACCGTCAGGAAGGGTGGGAATGTTGGGGTGGTTTCCTTTGCGATGTCAATATGCGCATCGCACTAAATCTGAACTTTGCAGGACTCACCGTTAGGGTTCATGGCCACAGGCCAGTGGACCAAGTAGAGGTCAACATAGTCCAGTCCCAGGTTCTTCAAGCTCTGGTCCAGAGCCTGTTCCACCCGGTAGTGCCATGTGCTCCAGAGCTTGGTGGTCACGAAGAGTTCCTCTCGCTTGACAACTCCAGACTCGATGGCTGCCTTGATACCCTTGCCAACTTCTCCTTCGTTGCCGTAGGCGAAAGCGGTATCAATGTGTCTGTATCCAACGGAGATGGCATGGGCCACGGCCTTTTCGACCTCTCCAGGACCTGACTGCCAGGTTCCTGCACAGATATTAGCCAGAATGTCCCTGTGGTTATCTGGAGATAAGCCATACCGAGTCCGAGAGCAGGGATCTCAGCCCCGGTGTTCAGCTTGAAGCGAGTGTCTGCGACGGTCGAAGTCGAACCCATTTTGGCGATATGTGGAGAGAGTTTGAAGGAAGAGGGTACGTAGATACTGCGTGAGGGTGAGAAAGAGGATAAGAAGACAGATAGACGACAAAAATACGAGGATAAAGCTATTGGAGAGGGTGGGGGAGAGGAGGGGAAGAAAAGGGCGACCCCCACGCTGCCCCTCCGCATCCCCGCCATTCGGGCCAAATGAGTCCGAGACCCTCTCCAGCTTCGCCTGTCAATCTTCATCCTCTCTATGTCCCTCCCATCAACAGCCACAGTCACATCCTCTTCAGTTAACGTACGATGACTGCTTCACGCGCATATCGCTTGCTGGGCTCAATTATTCACCCACAGAATAGCAAAGGGCAATACAAGAGCAAGAAGGCGGCAACCACAATTGCGGGAAGCTTATTGTTCGATAGCCGTCAACCCCGTTGCAATCAGCTCCACTTCTCAGGGACACTTGCTCAGTACGCGCGACTGGCAGACTGAAATCCGACCTTGCAGCGATCGTGGGTGCGCCCAGAAATGCTGAGATCGTGACGAGAATCAGGACAGGAAGATCAAAGTCCAGCGATCATTGTCATGATCGCCATGACACACAACCAAAGAGATTGCAGAAGACATAAGTTTAGCAATGAAGGGAATCTCTTTGGACGACGACGGGCCGTGCGTGAACCCGAGGTTCGTCCGCGTCGGAAACCAGTATCCTAAAATGCGCCCACAGCAGCAGCCAAGACTGGGGCTGGAATGGGATGATTTCACATCTCCGCAACGCTGAGCGTATCCGTTGGATCCAAATCTGTAGGACAGATCGCCGCACGTTCCATGCTGGCGGGGGCGATCCCTAGAGGCGTATCACCGACATTCTCTGCCTGCGGAAGCCACTTTCCGGGCTCCAGCTATGCTCCCACTCCCCAGGACTCCAGCGCCATGGTCTCGACGATCAGTTCTCTTCGGATTTCTAGAATCATACAACGTCATCCACACAAGGGCTGGCAGGCGTCGGTCTTTCGGAATTACCATACATTTTCGGTCTCCTAGTGTGTGAAACATTGATATTTATGCTCCTGCTCCTCAAGCCTATTTTCTTCCAGCAACAAACCCCAGAGCATTTCTTTGATACCCCCAAGCTCAACACACTTTCTTCTTTCGTGCATCCTTAAAAGTTACAATCACAATGGCACCTGTCGCCGTAGCTCCTGAATCCCCGGTGTTCAACACCAAGCGTGACGGACAGGCTCTCGAGGAGCTGTCGGACGCCATCGACAATGTCAACGTCCTCAAGGACAACATGAAGAAGCAGGAGAAGGGTCTGTACGAAGAGTCCGAATTCGACAAGAACAAGGACAAGACCAAGTTCCGTCAGTACGAAGACGCCTGCGACCGGGTCAAGAACTTCTACAAGGAACAGCACACCAAGCAAACCGTGGCCTACAACCTCAAGGCCCGCAATGAGTTCCACTCCAAGACCCGCGCTGAAATGACCATCTGGGAGGCCATGGAGAAGCTCAACACCCTCATCGACGAGTCCGACCCGGACACCAGCCTCTCCCAGATCGAGCATCTCCTGCAATCCGCCGAGGCCATCCGCCGTGACGGCAAGCCCCGCTGGATGCAGCTGACCGGTCTCATTCACGACCTGGGCAAGCTGCTCTACTTCTTCGATGCCCAGGGCCAGTGGGATGTCGTTGGAGACACCTTCCCCGTCGGCTGTGGCTTTGATGAGCGCATCATCTACGGCCGCGAGTCCTTCAAGGACAACGAGGACTTCAACCACCCCATCTACGACACCAAGTTCGGAATCTACAGCCCCGGCTGCGGTCTCGACAACGTCATGCTCTCCTGGGGCCACGACGAATACCTCTACCACGTCGTCAAGGACCAGTCTACTCTCCCGGACGAGGCCCTCGCCATGATCCGCTACCACTCGTTCTACCCCTGGCACAATGCCGGCGCGTACCACGAGCTGATGAACGACCACGACAAGGAGATGTTCAAGGCTGTCAAGGCGTTCAACCCATATGATCTGTACAGCAAGAGCGACGATGTTCCCAGCCCTGAGGAACTCAAGGTAAGCCTATTCCCTTCAATTTAACATTGGTATCATCAAACTAACAGATATTGAACAGCCATACTACCTCGACCTGATCGACGAGTACTTCCCCAACAAGGTGATCAAGTGGTAGAGAATTGATATGATGTATGATTTTGGCTGGATGATTACATGTATTGCTTCTTCTTTTTACACTACCCTACTTCATGCTTCTTATTCCCCTTTTACCACCCTAGCATGCACGCAAGCGATGATCTACGACCTACTGCAGTCATTTTTTGAATCAAAGAATGGGATTGATTCCCTGCTCCTTTTCCATTGAAACTATCTATCTTAAACTATATCCCCCCATCCGTACTTCGTAGAAAATCAAAAACCACACAACCCCCACTCCTCGGTGACCAAACACGTGAACACAGTAGATCAGATCAAAGATGAACCCAGTCGCCGATCACCATGATCTAAGCGAACAAGAAAGCAAGCAAGTAAGCATCTACCCCTCATCTACTAAACACCCATAGTACCTGAGACTATCTTTAACGGCTAAGAATAAATTCAACCAACATGATCTACATTCTGCATGACCACACTCACGCACCACCCCGACCAATTAATTGGTTCCTGCCATAGTACTTCGGAAACAAGGTCCCGGAGACGGTTTCTCTCCGGGGATTGTTGCCCGTCTCGGTAAAAACCAACTTTGGAAGCTCTGGAACGGCGGAGCTTGCTTTTTTGGGGGAAGTGGCGGGGTAAGGTAGGTAAGGTAGGTTGTGGTGGGGTGGGGTGTGTGGGGCTTGCAGCATTTAGCACTTAGCACTTAGTAGCAATGTAAGTTACTGAATTAGCTTCTGAGGTAGCTAAGTTTTTGAGCTGTTGCATGCATAACTCGCATTTATGTTTAAGGGGGTGGACGTGATTCGAGCATTATGTAGCGTAATGCTGTAGTGATAGAAGTCGGGTCATCTGGGAGCAGATGAATGCTGGATTTAGCTTGTTTGTGGACTTTTCGCACTGGTGTTTTAGTAGTCAGAAAGTACTGGAGGTGTGTGTGGAGTGATATGGGGCTTGGCTAGTACTAGTAGTTGGTAGTCGGGTGGGATGTATATACGAAGGATTACAGCTTAGCTTAATGTACTATGGTGAGAGGCCGTCAATTAAACAGCGATCGCGCTTTTCATTAACATGATGATGAATATGAAGGAAATACTAGTCATAACAGGAATCTATCGTGTCTATCATATCTCTCTAGAGTCTTGCCTTGGGAAGACGCTGGCCCTCCTCGTCGAAGAAGATCTTCTCGCCTGTGATCAGCGATTCTTGAAGGGCAGCGCCGATGCGGACTGCCTGGACGGCGCCCTCGAGCTTCAGAGGGACAGGAGTGTTCTCGAGACAGCAGGCCGTGAATTCGTTGGCCTCGGTGACGAAGGCGTACTCGAAGCGGTCGTAGTAGTGCTGGGGGATTTCGCGACGGACACCAGTCTCGTCGAAGATGTTGACCAGGTTCAGAGCAGGCTGGGTGTTCACGGCCAGCTTACCCTTGGTTCCGATGATCTCGGTGGTGTCTTCCTGGCCGGCGGCCATCATGCGCGAGGCGTAGAAGTAGGCGATCTTGCCGTTGTGGAACTCCACCAGACCGACGGCGTTGTCGCGGTCGTTGTGCTTGCGCAGGTCGGGCTCAACGGCGGTGATACCCACTGCGGACACGGACTTGACCTTGCTATCCTGACCGAAGAACCACAGAGCCAGGTCGATGTCGTGGATGGAGCAGTCCACGAAGATACCACCCGAGAACTCGGCGTAGGCGACGAAGAACCCGGTGGGGTCCAGCTTGTCGCAGGTCTGACTGCGCATGACGGAGGGAGAACCAATTCCACCAGCGGACATCTTGTTGAATGCGTCACGGTAGGAGGCATCGAAGCGACGGGAGAAACCGCACATCACTTTCAGTTCAGGCTTCTTGGCTGCTGCGTCGAGGACGGTTTGGGACTATTTAAAAGATATGTTAGCCGCATTTCTAGAAGGCATCGAGGGCAAGGAAGTGGGAACATACGATCTCGACACTGGTCGACAAGGGCTTCTCGCAGAGAACGTTCTTGCCAGCCTCAATGGCCTTGATGGCCTGTTCAGCGTGCACGGCGGTCGCGGAAGCAACGACGACGGCCTCCAGGCCTTCGTGCTTCAGCATGTCCTCATAGTTCTTGTAGGCCGTGACTCCGTACGGACCAAGGTTGGCCCTGGCCCATTCCAGCTCCGAGTCATCCGGGGTGCTAACGGCGACGAGGTCTGCACGGGGGGTACGCTGCAGGAAGTTGAGGGCATGACGCTTGCCCATGCGGCCCAGACCGGCACAGCCAACCTTGAGCTTTCTGGCAGACATTGTGATGGTAAAGGAGGAGAAGAGTGTAGAAGAGGAATTGAGGTAGAGAAAGGGGGTCTTGTGTAACAGTCTGTAGAAGATGTGAGGAGAATTAAGGACAGTGAGAGGGAACAACAACAGCGAGGACGTGCAATTTAACCGCACGACGAGAAGCTCCAGCAAGAGTCGGTCTAGCTCTCTCGGAGGGGATGCGGAGAAGCTGGACCTGCCAAGTATCTTCTCCTCAGGTGTCTAGTTGGCAGGGGGAATGATTCCAGATTAGCCACTAGTAGTAGGAGATCAGCCTGGGATAGCCGGGCAAGGCGCCTGGAGGGTTTGGACCCCAGTGGAGATGGCCACTGCGACCCCGGATATCATCCTCCAGAGTGGCTCCGTGGGTCGGATTACCGGTCGGAAAAGGGATTCCTGGAGGCAGCACAGCATTCAAAATAGCAGGCATCCAGGCATCGAGGATGATAAAATGGACCAACCTCCTCATGAGGGGGATGCAGTTGGGGATGGATGCATGACTTCTCCATCGATATCCCACCCACTAATCAGATTAGTTGATTATCACTTGCCAGTCCTTGAATTGTTGTCAGAGACACGAAAACAAAGCATCCTCACCGCACAAGGATAGTACCCTTCCGCTTCTGGTAATCTCCGGCGCGAGTTTCCCCCGCCGGGGTTGGGGCAGCGGGGAATGGTGCCCTTTCCGGGGAAAAGACTGGGTCTGGACCCTCAATCCAGCATCACCTGGTTCTATCGGGGAATCAATCGCGCTCAATTGAATCTGCCTGGTTTGATGGAGCAGGTATTCGTCTATCACCAGATTATCTCTGGAGCTATGACTATTATGCCTTGGAAATTTTGATGCCTTTCTGGCAATTGATTTCCAATGGGGTTTGATCTCTAGGCGGTACCGTCAAACCAGCTTGGGTAGGTCAATTAACAGCGATATTTGGCTGACAGTTTAGCTTCAGTTCATGGCGCTTCAAATTGCGCGGACATCTCGAATATCATCCATTGTAGTGTAACGGCTATCATACCTGTCTTTCACACAGGAGATCGGGGTTCGATTCCCCGCAATGGAATCTCTTTTTGTTTTTGTTCTCTCCAGTGCATCTCTGGACTACATTCAACAGCTGTGGAGTAGGCAGGCAACCACTGCGGTCTCAGGCTCGCCGTGTTGGCGATTGCACCAGTTAGAACAATTTTTGCTTGTCGGACTGCCCTGGCTTTTGCCTGTCGTCATGATAGCAATTGATAATATATACATGGGTTTGCTTTTTGGGGTGATCCAGCTGAGTGGAGATCGACAAACACTACGTGGGCTATCTCTATGCCGCTTCTGCCGTTGAAGTCTTGCGGGGACAGCCAAAGTAGTACCGTGACAGTATGAATTGGTAAGAACAAGATACTAATCCTAGGAACACTAATGGTTGCATTTCTGGCACTTGCATTAATCACGCGATACATAAGTCAAACTCCGCCCCTCGCTTTGCTTAAAACAGAACCTATGAACAAGTGTTGAAGATAAATGCACCGGGACTATAAGACTCGCTGACAACCGAATGTATCTCAAGGCTCATTCTCCGCTTTCCCCGCCTTTAATGCAGCTGCTTTTCTCGCCTTCCTCTTCGCCGCCACCTCAACTGGATCCGCAAAGCCGTCGCCCTTCAGCCACGCCAGCGCCTTCCGCACACCCTTCCCTTGTACTGCGGACGGCCTCGTCTCGAGGATAGACCCAATGAGTGCCCACGCCAGCACAATGATACACAAGTCTCCGCCCTTCCAGCCCTTCCATAACCCGCGCTTGACGCCTGTCTTCCAGGCCGAGTCCACGGCTGCCCGGAAGAAGTACATGAAGATACCACGGCTGTTTGTGAGGAAAGCGAACGGAACGCCTGCGAGCGCGCCACTAAGGAAAAAACGCTTGGCGGGAAGCGCAGAGCGTGGGAGAAGGGTATTCCAGAGACAGATGCTACCCCATGCGGAGCCAGTAGACGCAGAGAGGATGGCGGTCAAGGTGATGATCTTCTTGGAGAGTTTGTTGATGGAACTGATGGGCTCATTCATGAGGCCCTTGATGTTGCGTAGAGATAGGGCTAGAGTGACGGTGGTTAGGAAACGAGCGAGCGGTGGGACTAAGAGGAGGATGTGGTGCAGGAAGGCGGTGCTGCAGCTGGGGCTGTTTGGGTGGAGCAAGGCACACGAGAGACTGGAGATTGCTGGATGGGCAGGGCCGGTGATAGGGGAGATGGATGTGAGAGTAGATGGCAGCGTGTTTGGGCTTCCTGGGTGTAAGATAGGGGAGGCAAATGCCCTGGTAGACGCATTAGTTGGGAAGGGCCGTTTATTAAGTAGATTGCTAGTACTTACGGCCACCGTAGGTTGGCAATGTTGGCCAAGGAGTCCACTACATCTTCCTTCTCCGGCCATGGTATCTCCAAGGGCAAGGACTCGGGGCGGCCGCGCACGTAGCTCGGAGAAAGCCTCAAGATGACATTTCCAAACCACTGTTCGTAAAAATCAGCGTATGTTCCGTGCGAAGTATAAGACAGATCAACGAACCTTGGGTGCAGTCTCGCGATCGAAGATGAAAGCATGGAAGAGTTGGGCGCATGCAATCGGCATTAGCAACCAGCTTCCGAACCATCGAGGTCGATCCTTGAACCACCCCTTCTCATCTAGCGCATTGAACAGAAATTCCAAGCTACGAGTAGCTGTGTAGATTGCTGCCGTCAGCCGCAGTTGCTTCTGTGGACACAACCCCAGCGCAAACCCCGCAATACTGGCACCAACTGCGGGCGCAAATCGAGACGTTAGTGCTCTCGAGATCCGTGGGTTGCGATCCCGGAAAGGTCGAGCATCGTCTGTACGGAGGTTGGCACGCAACTTGACGAAGAAGCGATAGAGGAAGCGGTGGAGGAGGAGAAGTAGTGACAGGGAGATGGACAGGCGGAAGTTTGGGGAGCGCGTAAAAGATGTGCGCGATGTATTCTTTCTGTAATAGATGCCGGAGATCAGCCATGCACATGAAACATCGCCTTATACTCTTGGTGATCGTTAAGTTGCGTGTACATAAGAGAGAACTTACTGGGATAGGTCGCCGCGGATCCTCCCAGCCACGACGTCAACGAGCTTCAACAGGGAGCTTGACAATACAAACACGCGCAACGACGTTCGAATGGAAGCTTCATTATGCTTATTCTTAGACCGAACTATAGCCTCGAAAGCTGAAGGCGAGGGAAGCTTGTTCTGGATGGCCGAGGGAGTGCGCTGAACGGCATAATCGTGGAGCAGCTTGTACTCCTTGGCGCTGAGGGAAATGCGGAGAGCGTTGCGAACCACCGGATGGAGGTCGGGGTTAGGCGTGGAGTCGGACGCCATGGTGCGGTAAAATTTAACGGGTCATACGCGTGGGTCTCGACGATGGACTAAGCTCACATCATGAGGGACAGGGGATGGAAAGATAGAAAGCAAGGGACCGAGTTGTGAGAGAAGGAGGGAATTAAGCTCCAGCGTTCGGGGATTTGCAGCTGACTGTCCTGCGCGCCCGTGACCTCGGCTATTTCGCGCAATCACCTGAAAATGGGCTTACGAGACCTCTATACTCAGGTATACTCAAATTCTGTCAAGATTGCACTGTGCCGGTTTCATTACGAAATATTGGTAAAGTCAAATTCACTGTCTATATCACAAACTGTTCCATGCCATGTTGCCGTTGCAAGATGTAGAAAGCAATAGTATCACCATGAAAGGCCCTGGATAATTCATGCGTCCCCATCATGGGGTACATGATAAACACGGTACCTGGGTGAGAATGATAAGGGAATAATGCTACATAGAAAGTAAGAACGGAAATTGTAAAAGACATGATGGAGAAGCTGAAAAGGTGGGAACGAAGAATGATGCCATGCAAAATCCGTTGCCATGATTTGCGCCACAATAAGACCCTAGAAAAACACGAACGGCGCTACAAGAATCACCAGAAACTGCACCATCCAATCCAATGCTGACAGATGTTCTCGACACTGGTGGCTTGCGCAAGAAGCTTGTCCACCTGGTCGCTGACGTTGAGTTCCTCACTCGGTTTGAAGTCTCTTCCTGTCAGCTTCTCCTTGACGCGGGCAAGCACCTGGAGTGCTCGCGCGTTCTGTGCCTCTCTAGCTTCGTTGGGAATGCCCTCTTGTGCATCCAAGATACCGCCCTCAAGAATGGATGGCCGGCGGTGACGAGAGAAGTTGCTGGGCTGTACCCCATGGTCGATGTTAATGTTAGAGACGACTGATTGACGGCGCTCGGCAGAGAATGGCATTCGATCTGGGGACTCGCGGATGCCCAAACGCCAGTTGATCAATGGATCGTGAATAAACTAAATCATGAGACATTAGCATGAGTTCAACCATGGGATACGATATGTGCTTACCGCTTCCAAAACAGCCATCAGAGAATCCTTGTTCTCTCTCAAGACACGCATGACAGCCTCACAAGTGATGCGGTAACTTCCTTCGATGTTGCTGACTTCCATGGCAAACGTCAACATACGAGTCAACCGGAAAGGTACCCTCTCAGGATACTTCTCGCGGTGCATCGCCACCTCGAAGCAGTCACCGAAGTCGATATGGACCACTTTGCCGGTAACCCGATCCAGAAGCAGATTGGATGGGTGACGATCGCCAAGGCCAAGGATGTAACCAACCATGGACATGACACCAAGGGAACGCGTGTAGTTCGTGCGGCGCTCCAGCCAGGCCTCCGAGCTACTACTCTTGAGCCATAGAACGCGATAGAGGTCCTTACCAGTGGTATTGTCCATGGCATAGCCGAACACCTCCACCTTCTGCATGAGTGTAAGATTATCATAATCGGGAGCCATCTGCAGCATAATGCGGTGTTCAATGTTCAGCAGGATACGTCGACTTTCTCGGTATTCCTTGATCAAGGCATGCAATGTGTCACTATTGGAAACCCATCCAAGGATACCAGAGCTCTGTGATAGCGGGATTGCAGGGAACCGTTGCACAGACAGATGCCGTTTGAAACTCTCTCCATCGTTATCAAGGAGTGTGTTGACCAGGCCGAAGAGTTGCATGACACGTTCATCTTGCCGGATGTCTTCGTGTCCCTTGACACAATACATGTACGAATTTCCGTCACTGCCCTTCAATGTCATCCTGCGTGGTCTCTTCTTGGTCTGTAGTACGTGTAATATGGGATCGAAGCTGAGGATGCGAATGATGGGCCTGCCACTTTGGTATGTACCAGGAACAGCAAGGTCAAGGTCATTACAATCCTTGAGCTTGGGTGAGACGTATTTCAAATCGAGCGTGGAGAGCTGTGGCAGCTGCCGGCTGATCTTGCGGAATACTGTGTAGTAAAGATCCCATGCTTGGTTCAAATCACCAATTTCTTCAGTCTCCCGGTAGAGCATACAGTAGTGCTTAGCCTCTGCAAGATCGCGACCAAAGGCCTGAGCAAATGACACCTCGCGCAACGTCTCGGCACCCTTATCGAGCATCTCATGCAGGGGCGCTAGAGTTGCAAACATGCCTTCCACATTGTGATCGCCAAAGTAGAGTCGAGAGGCTTCTTCTAGACCTTCATGCCAAAGCTCGTGCCACAGGACCGCGACTCGAATCAGCTCATGACTCACAACATCAGCTTGTTCCACGAGCTTCGCACTGTGCTGCCGCATGCTGTCCATAATGTTGCTAGCGGATTGTGATCGCCGAGCGACATTAGACTTCATTGCAACGGTCAATGGGTACACCAAAGCCTGAGGATGCACTTTGCCAACTTCAGCCAGCAGGCGATGAACAGCACTCCGCACTCGGATATTAGGTTGATTGATCCGAGCTATGAGCTGTGGAGTGACAGCAAGCCAGGTATCAATGTTCACTGCCGTAAAGCCCTCTGCTACAACACTGTTCACTTCTTGATCACCACCGTGAGTGAACCAGAGTGTCAGCAATCGCAATGTATCCTGCAAAGATGAGGTCGACGACAATGAAATAGACCTGAGGAAGCCGCGAAGTGCAGGTATTACATGCTCCGTCACAATGTGTCCGGGGACCATGGCCATTGTCGTGCCATCCCTGCTGGCTTGGCTAGCAATCGTCGTAACAACTTCGAAGTTGGCCAAAGCCCACGAATGCCAAGCTTTGTATGAATCACGGTTGTATTTGGTCGCAGCGGCGTACGCATTGAGAACTTCACGAACGTGCTCTGGTCTCCAATCACCTCGTTGCAACGTTGTCTGCCATTCTCCCTGGCGGAGATAGCTCTTTGCTAGTAGCCTTCTGAACTTAGCAACATCGCCAATGCGTTCTCGCAGCCCCATGGCATCCGCATGGTTGGCATCCGCGATACCGTTGACTCCGTTCACGCCATTGACTCCGTTTATTCCATTATGATCCGCCTGCGATAACATGAGAGCATTGAAGCGGGTAAGGTCCTCTGTCAGACCTGAAGTGAACTCCTTCAACATTTGAAGGGCTTCGCGTTGACGTCCAGTGGCCCAGTTGAACTTCAAGCGGGCATAAGTAACTTCTGGGGGAGCGATTGCCCTCGTGCCGTTGCTGTCAGAAACCACGGTCTCCAGTGAGGCGAGCGACCGCTCCGCGAGTCCCATGCGGTTGGATTTGCGACAGAGATTAGCGAATTTGATCCACATGTCGAGGTTCTCGCGAGGAGAGGTGACAAGCGCCCTAACCTTGAGCATGCGCTGCCATACCTCTACATTTTGTTGGCAGCCGAGTAGTCGCTTGTTCCATGTCTGACGCATCGAATCCTGTTTCTCAGGATCGCCAATGTTCTGTTTGTACGTAATGATCTCCTCAAGCTCAGCAAGCATTTGAACACGCACAACAACATTGTAGGCACGGTTGTATGACTCTCCCAGGAGTGCTGAAAGCTCGGTATCCAATCCATTGCGAGCCTTTTCAATATACATCGTTGCTTCGTCAAACTGATTCCGATGAATAGCAAGGATGGCACCGAAAAAGGACCGATCTGGCGACTGCTCCTTCATTACGCCAAGATAGGAATCCATTAATTCCCACTGGCCCCGACCCCAGGCAGCCGCTGCAGCTAGAGGTGCAATGGCTCTGCGATGTTCGAGGGATGCCTGGTTCCACTTCTCCTGAGCGAGGTCGGAGAGCACCTTCCACTCACCGAGAGCGTGAAGACAGCGCATCTTGCCCATCGTGACCCCAAAGGAATCTGGGTCTATCTTCTCACGTCGTTTGTACGCAGCAAGAGCCTCCTCCCAACGTTGAAGTTTCTCAAACCATGTCTCTTTGAGTTCCACATCCCGGTAAGCCTGCGCTTTTCGCAAGATACCAATAGCAGCATCCGATTGCTGAAGCTGATTATTAATAGTGATCAAAGCCTCCACTGCCCCCGAGTTTTGGTCTTGCTCAAACTCAAGTTCCTTGTAATGCAGGGCCTTCGCGAACGCGTGGCATTTAGCAGCGTACTTGCCTAGAGTGCGAATATCGATGGGAAGGGCCTTGTCGTCATGCTCCATGAACTCCGCTAGGTTAAGTAGAACCTGCAGGATTTCGGGAGGAATATTAGGTGAGGTGAGGGCCTTCTCGATCGACCGGACCAGCTCTTCTTGATATTGGTCATACAACTCGGTCCAGCAGGAAACAAAGGCCGCGTTGAAGAGATCCCTCGCTAGGGGCTGATAAATACCAGCCAAGCTTGCGCATGCTCGAAGAGCGGGAGAAGGTGACTCTTTCAGTAATTCAACGCTAAATCGTCGAATCCACTCTTGCCAGTCTTCACGAGTAGACTTTTGCGAGGCGTCCCAGGCATTCTTCAAGTGCTGTTGATTGACAACCATCTTCTTCTGTCCAATCTCGGCATAATTGGCGTCATCCGCCAGTGCCGCGTAATTTTCATCAGGATTGAGGTCTTGTGGGAGCGGATCGCCCTTTTGTAGCTTCGTCACCAAGATTTGGTAGTTGACATGATTGATCTGGTTATACTTTAGGACCTTATTCAGCAGATGGATGTAGTGATTGAAGTCCTGGCCCAGCTGGAATATGAGCGCACAGATACAGTCCATAGCAGCTTGTCGCAGCACGCGGTCGGTTCCTGCGACAACCCGAGACAGAGAATGTACCATCAATGATGCGAAGTCCGAGACGTTCACCTGCCGTGAAAGTTTGGTGAGGGTCTCGATCGCAGACTTTCGAATACTCTGAGGGTTTTGGGTCCTGTCAAAGAGACGCACGATAGAGGGCACAATCAGGTGCATATATTCCTCTCCGCTCGTACCGAATATCAAGAATGTGTGGAGGATCTTCTCCGAAGGTTGACGACGCATCGTGGTGTCCTTCTCAAGCGTGTCAAGCATCGGAGGGATTAGGCCTGCAAGGTATTTCTTGAATTCACCTTCCAAGGACTTGGCGATCGCTTCCACGAGTGAGAGTATTGTAGCCTGAACTTGGTAAGATGCTTCCCAGAATTCGCGGACGACTTCAATAATCTCCGGCAAAAAGGCTCGTATGTGTTGCCGCACGATATTGACCAGAATCGCCATCTGATTGAAGTACGATTCGAGGCGGCCTGGGGGTGATCCTCTGATGACCGATATAAAACCTGGTATTATCTGTCCAAGGAACGGTACGCATTTCAGACCAAGGGTCTTGAAGATCGTCACAATGGCATCAATGACTGCGGAGTGATACTGCGCGAGTGACGATTCACGCAAGATATTTTGCATAAGCGTGTTAATGACAACCGTAGGGTAGTACTCCTCGCTGGAAGGCGTGAGACCTTGCATGATAAGAGCGACATCTGATACGGTCTGCACTTCATTGATGTGATGAACTACTGGCGCAGTCTCGCTGATCTGCTGGTATTTGTAGGGGTCCAAGGCTCCAAGAATACCCAGCAACTTGATTGTCTCCTTACGCAGAGACCCGGTCTGCTCGGTTTTGATGATGTTAATGAGGACTGCGAGTAGATGAGAATATTCGAGGTACGGGTCAATAACGTAGCCGGAGTTGCTGGCCAGCTGGCCCAGTGTCTTCAAGGCCGCCTCGCGCTTGGAATGAGAAGAGAGATCCTGTAGCGCATCCAGGATAATCGGCATAAGCTGCGGCAAGTACGTTTTCATTTCACTGCCACCCACGTTTGCAAGTTCACCAACGGCCCTCAATGTAGTGGAAGCAACACCAGGATTGGCATCAGTTGCCTTAGGTAGCAGTGTAGTCACCATAGGATCAACATAGGACCGGATCAGTTTCGTCGCATTCGAAACAAACAGGCTGATCAACTGAGCACTCTCTTCCTTTTGGCGTGCAGTGCTGGCGAAACCGAGACTCGTCAAAAGGTTGACAAGCAGCTTCCGCAGCGGTGGAAAGACGTAGGCAGGATTGACACTGGAAAGACGACCTATGATACAGATTGCAGCCTCCCTGACGGGGAACACTTCATCATTGACGGCCAAGAATAGACAGCGGATGTTCTCCGGTCTAGCGAGGTGCCGATCAAATTTCCTATCCAGGGACCACAGGACAGTACGTCGAATGTCAGGGTCAGGATCTCCAACACCAACAGTCAAAAGCTTGTCAATTACCTCGCTCACGACTTGGATCGAATGACTGCTTGTCTGGTTTATGATGGGGTCATGAACAAACAGCTGACAGCAGGTGAGTGCCGAAGCTTTCCGGATCTCAGGGTTGTCATTCTCAACATAGTTGATCGCCACGTCACGTACGAATTCGTTGAGAATATGACCAGAGAAGTCAAAACTGCCTAGCGTGTGTAATGCAAGGGCGATTTCCGTGTCAGAGTGTAGTTCTTGAGGGGCGAAGTCTCTTGCAAATGAGGGCATTGGAGGTAACCTGCTCTCTGGGCATCTCAAGGGCCTGAAAGGGGTGCCATAGAGAATCAAGCTTAGCATATCCAATAGTTTCTCTTGAATTATGGGCTTTATTGGCGGGATGTAGTGAGCCATGTCGACCAGCGCTTGTGTTAGGGACTCGCTAAGCCCGCAGGCGAAGATGGGATCGAGTAATGCTTCCATGTACTTGCTGAGCGCCTGGCCTACAGCCAAAGACAGCATGCTGATACACTCAAACATTGGCGCTTCTTGGACGGCCGCTCGATTTCTCCTTCGATACATTAGCTATACCGCACATGAATACACTGGAGCTTGGGGGCTTACGCTTTCATTGCAAGACCTTCCCTGATATAGACGATGATGCCATCGAGATATTGTGCGATGGCGACCCCAACGGCATTTGCAATCTTTCCTATAGCGATGAACGCAGCGTTTCGTTCTTTATCCCGTTTGAGCTGGGCCTGTAGGTATATCATGAATCTGTGAAGGTAGGTCTCTGTGAAGTCAAGGGGGGCGTAGGAGGCGAGAATCGGAATTGTCTGAACAACCTGAGTGCGGATCTTCGGATCACGATGATCCTTGAGACGGAGGACGATCTCACAAGCATTTCGATAGTGCTCATTCATGAACATGGCACCCTTTAGGAGAAGCTCCTTCAGAACCAGGAGCGAGCCATGTATCCAATCCACATTGCTTGATTTGAGACCTAAAAGCGCTTCCTCGTATACCCTTGAAAACCATAGCTGCCGCACCTGCAAATCTCTAGCAGCGATTATATCAAAGCATTCGCTGACAGCATTAGCCGCAGCTTCCCGTATAAGAACCTTGGGATCTCTCAAAGCGACCCAAATCAGCTCGAAGATCTGGGGAACGAAGCCGTAAAGAAGCGTGGGTGAGCCTTTCGCGAGCTCCCGGATGACGAGCACGGCAGCGAATCGTCGGCTTTCTTGTCTTTCCGACTGAAGGGCCTCTAAAGCAGATTGTATTTCACTCTCCACCAGCTCCGCAGTCAGAGCCCCGCCCGGTTTAGCCAAACGGCCAAGAGCCGCAGCCGCATAAACCAATACTGCATTGTCGTTGCTGCGAAGAGCATTGCGCAAGTAACTGGCGAATCGAGTGGTCTTCTGCGCGGCGTCCACACCTTCAAAGTCTATCAGACGATCGAGAGCCAACAGGCCACCGATCTTCTCGTGTGCGTCATTTCCGGTAACTACCAGTTGTGCTATGCGCTGGCTGACCGCGTTAAAGAACTCCAAAAACTTCTCGGGGGACCAATCTAAGATGAAGAGCCAGAATTAGCGCTAGTCAGTGGCTGATGCGAAGCGATGCCATACCTCGAGAGATAGCGAGAACGTTGTCGTAAAGCTCGTAAGCAGCTCGCACCCGTGTCTCCTCATTCTTCGACTTCAACTCGGCAAAGAGCCGATGAGTTACGTCCGTAATAGGACCTGCTTGCGCCATTTTTGCGAACCACACCCCAGGGTGGACATTTGAAGTCAACCTCTAGGGCATGTATGATGGCACAAAGGGAGCATGAGCAAGAGAGCCGTTGATGGGCGGCGTTGGAGTGATGCGGGAGGTGAGGTCGAGGGCGTTCGGAAATCGTGCACGGACCAGGCGCTTCTGGCCTGGGGCATCCGCGGTGGGTTACATGGGGCAGCCTAAGGTGTTTGCGACTGATCTTACCCTTACATTCACCGTCTTTGGAGGGATTGTTGTTATGCCTATAGAAGTCCGTTAATTGGCTACTCGAATATGCTCGGCTACCTGATTAGTATTTCATTATCCCTTCTAGACTCGCTCAACTCATCCCTAGGACTAGGCATCTCTAAAACCAGTGCGACCCGAGCGTAAGTACAGCCTCGTTCACATTTTTATTTCGCCGAAGGAGGTGCCCTGAATCAATCCTTGCTTGACTGGTGGTCTTCTGATGCCCAATTTCAATGCTTTAGATGTCATGGGACTGTTTGACGGTGAGGTAATGCAGATCATAAGCCACATGCACACCCTATAGTTACTGAGAAACTAGTCCGGGGGGCCGGGGCTTCCTGGCTTCGTCCGTACAAGCGTAAGCAGGTAATTGAGTAGTTGCCTGCGCGCAAACAGCGACAAAAGTACCTTTATATATGTGGTGTGTGACGGAAAAAAACCTAGAGCCTCTTCCTAATGATAAAAATTAGATATCTTGCGGCCTATCCCATTACATAGGCCGAAGATCGAAATTCGAGGGTGTAGTACGTATCTGCGCTTTAGTGTAACTGAAACAAGAACCGGCACTTACCACACGATGTATAGTTGTAGTGGCTGAGTATATTTAATGGCTCTTTGAGAAGCTTGACTTCCGCTCCGCACTCAGCTGAAGTAAGAAGTCTTGAGGCCTTTGCAACTAGTAGAAATAGAGAAGCCCCTTATCTTGTCACGATATGCGGACCGATCTCTTTAATATCGCGTTGTACATTATAGCCTATGACCAGAAGATATTGGCTAATGTTGAATGGCGTAAGATGCTGTTTTCTATGACAACATTTGGGACCGCAGGGTAACTACTTAGTAGTAGCTCCCTTTCGGGCCGGGGGGTATGCCGCCAGTAGATAGTGGATAAGGGACACGGGCATCATCAACCTTCCCTGAAGGCCCTCGGCAACCTTGATAGCCAGCGCCTGCCGTAAATGGATCAGTGGCCATAAAACGAGGCCAGCTAGAACAATCACCTAACCGGCTTACACTCTGTCGGAGTTAACCCTGCAACGTAAGTGCCATAATTCCGCTCTCCTGGGATTTGTAATCGAGGCGGGAGCCTATCACATCCGCACGATAATGGCGACAGTGGACCTCGGTGGGGGATATGACGGTTCAGGATGAAGAGGGGTAGCAGTCCGGAGTAAGTATAAAGGCAATGGCGTGCTGCCATACTTCTCTTAGGTAGGACACTGAACCAGACCCATCCAAGTGCCCCTGTATACGAACCCAGCCATCAATTGACCCCCCGTATAACTAGTATAGCAATCATGCCCAAAGTTCTCTTGAGTGGTAAGTATCATGATTTACAGACTCCCAGACATGGTTTCCAACAGAGCTAACTGGTTGGTTTGTAGGAGGTAGCGGCTTCATTGCTGCTCACATCGTTGACATCCTGCTCGCGCATGGGTAAGAGTCAATGGCTCAGCTTGCTTCCATAATATCACTAACCTGGCCACCACAGCTTCGACACCGTAGTCACCGTGAGGTCCGAGGAGAAGGGCCAAAGGATTCTAGAGGCTCATCCAAGCACGCCAAAAGAAAAGCTTTCCTACGTTATTGTCAAGGATGTCGCGGCAGAGGGTGCCTTCGATGAAGTACGGCTCCCTGTTATGCTGTCCCACACCCCCAATGCTTCCTTGAAGTTGCTTGCTACGTTCAATACTAAATCATTGTTCGTGTAGGCCGTCAAATCTGACCCGCCATTCGACTATGTCCTGCATACTGCATCGCCCTTTCACCACAATGTTCAAGATCCAGTGAAAGACTTTTTGGACCCCGCCATCAAGGGAACAACCGGTATACTGAAGGCAATCAAGGCCTATGCTCCAACGGTGAAGAGGGTCGTTATCACCTCCTCATTCGCAGCGATTGTCAATGGCAAGAAGCATGCCGAATCGTACAGCGAGAAGAATTGGAACCCGGTAACTTGGGAGGAAGCCTTGATCTCCTCTAATACCTACCGTGCGAGCAAGGTATGTGAAGGACCCTATGCTTGGACTTACATGAAATGACATCTGACTCGTATGTGCAGACTTTTGCAGAAAAAGCAGCCTGGGACTTTGTAGAGAAGGAGAAGCCCAACTTCGACATTGCAACTATCAACCCGCCCTTCGTTTTTGGGCCAGTTGTGCATTACCTGAATTCATTGGACGCCATCAACACTTCGAACCAGAAAGTTCGTGACGTGGTCCAGGGAAAGTGGAAGGACGCCATTCCTCCATCCTTCACTTTCCTCTGGGTAGATGTGCGCGATGTTGCACTTGCGCATGTCAGGGCTATAGAGGTCCCAGAGGCCGGTGGCCAGCGTTTCTTTGTCACCGCCGGTTATTACACAAACAAAGAGATTGCAGACGTGGTCCGAGAATCGCTGCCCGAACTTGAAGATAAGCTGCCCTCGAAGGACATTCCGAGTGATTTTCCGGCGGACATCTACGGCTACGACAACAAGAGATCCGTTGATGTTTTGGGTATTCAATACCGGACGTTGAAAGAGTCCATTGCTGACACCGCTAAGTCACTGTTGTCCATTGGCGTCTGATGTGATGTATGTTGGGATATAATATGTACATATCTAGAACAAACCGGACCAGGAAGAAGGATATAGATAGGATGGAAATGATAATTGAAAATGCAGTGCTACTATTCGTTGAAATGAGAAAGAGGCTGCACAAGATGTGGTTGTAGTTTCCCGTATCACGTGGCTTGGCGCGCCTTGAGCATTGCAACCAAGTTTTCTCCAGCTTTCTCCGGAGATAGAACAATACCGCAAAACACCACATTGCCCAATGTCCGCCATGGCAACAGCCAGGCTATCTCCGACAGCAAATCTGCTGCGGAAGTCTCGCCTTTTCGCTCTTCCACAGGCTCTGACGCCACCCCCGACTCCGCCGACCTCGAAAAATGTCAACGAATCCGAGACCGCAACCCTTCCTCATCCTATCCGAGCGTCCATCGTCACACCGTCGTCTTCTCTTTCTAGGGGTGACTGGGGTCTGAAGAGGCCTCTCCCCGCCAAATCGACGTCCGAAAGATCTTCCAGGCCTGTGGTCAGAGTCAATGCACTCGATACCTTCGAACACATCACGGACTTCGAGTCCGCGGCCGACCATACGGTGACCCTGGAGAAATTCCAGGAGCTTAACATGCCGGTTTCGCTCCCCGCGAGAGTCACTTACGGAACCAGCATCATCCCCAGACACCAGAGTCCATTCGAGTCGCATGTCGACAATACACATACTAGCGAAGGCCTAAAGGAGCCCGGCGCGAGGCAGTTCAGGCACTCTGGGCCCTGGCTTGCCGGGCAGACGGAGGCCGAGTTCCAGGCATACTTGAAGAAGGTCCGGAAGAACAAGCCAGAGATCCTACAGAAGCTTCGCGAATATTTCGTCGCCAAGCGCGAAGCCGAACAAAGGAAGCAGGCACAAGATAATGGCCAGGATCTGGCAACTCTCCGACCTGTCGAGATCACCGACGAAGAATTCCAGGGCTATCTTAAGAAGCTCCGCACGGATCCGTTCTCACTGGGTCCTGTTGTCTTTGAGCTTCTGGATCTGCCGTCTCCTCCGGCTGTACCGAGCAGCCGACTCAACAACCCATACTACCAGTCCCCCGGCAGCAAGCTCTCTTCCGCAGAGTATGTCGCATCCGGACCTCCAAGGACGCATCCCTCGGCGGGTCTGTCTTACACGAGATCGCACGCTTTGATCTACAACCACCCCAAGTATGGACCCCAGGCCCACCAACGCCCGGTGGAGGCACGTATCTTGCGCCCCAGAGGACGGAAGGGCAAGAACACGAAGGCAATTGCGGGTGTTGCGGGTATTGCCGTGGAAGACTTGAACACCGTCACCTTCACTGAGCAGGACTCTCCGGCTGGCCTTGCCTACTTTGACGCCTCTATCCCCGGTGGTGCTAAGTACTGGGCCACTCCCATCCGGGCCTTTGTCGACTCGGAAGGCAAGATTGGCCTGGCCTCTTACCGCGCTAGCGCCACTGCTAAGGCCCCCTACGGAATCGATAGCCAGAAGAAGCCCGGATCGTACAGCATCTCTGACGTGGCTCGCGGCGACCAGCGCGTGGTCCCGAGACTGGATAGACAGCGGAACGCCGCAGCGGAGACCGAGGAGGTTGCGCGGAACCTCATGAAGAGCCTTGGCTCATAGAGTACTGGCATTTCATTCCCGAACAACTTTCGTCCCATGTGTCAGATATGTTCCATCTTCCACTTAGAGAGTTTTGCTGTATGATTAGGTTTCTGGATGGTAAATGTATAGTTATTTCTTTGCACTTTTTCTCATTTCTTTGTGATATAAGCCGGCTACATCTCATTTGAAGTATAAATAAATTGCAAACATCAAAGACGTCTCAGTAAGCATTATCACTATAGATCGAGCTTGCCATGCATAACCTAAAGCAACCCAGCCATCTTCATAATTCGCTAGTCCGTTACATAATTAGCGCTTAATCATCCAGCACAACGACCGACCGCTTTGGCATTATAGCCCACGTGACCGTAAATAGGGCAGCCACATCAGGGTAGATAGGCATCACATGACCCGCACATCCTAAGCGAGGGCCGGGTAAGTTGAAGGAGCAAAAGACATCAGAACAACTTGGACGGTCTTTCGAACATCCATCCAGCCAGCAACAAACCGCCAAAATGGGTCGCGTCCGTACCAAGGTGAGCATACACGACCGCAACAATGGAGGAAAGAAAGAATATCAATTCTAACGAAAATGCGCGCCATAATAGACAGTCAAGCGTTCCGCTAAGGTCGTCATCGAGCGTTACTACCCCAAGTTGACGCTCGACTTCGAGACCAACAAGCGTATCTGCGATGAGATCGCTATCATTGCCTCCAAGCGTCTCCGCAACAAGGTTAGTAACATTCCATTTTCTTTTCCGGGGAAAACCGGATGTGATATTCGGAAAGGGAATTCATATGCTAATTCAAAAACTTTATAGATCGCTGGTTACACCACCCACCTTATGAAGCGTATCCAGCGTGGCCCTGTCCGCGGTATCTCCTTCAAGCTCCAGGAGGAGGAGCGTGAGCGCAAGGATCAGTACGTTCCTGAGGTCTCCGCTCTGGATGTTTCCCAGACCGAGTCCGGCCAGCTTGACGTCGACTCTGAGACCAAGGACCTGCTTAAGAGCATGGGCGTACGTTTTCCCCTCAAATGAAATCTTATCCACAAGTTGTGTAATGGCTAACCCGATCGTGCTTTTAGTTCGACAACCTCAAGGTCAACGTCATCCCCGTCTCCCAGCAGCAGGCTCAGGAGCGCCCCCGTCGCTACCGGTAGATCATTGCGCCGTTGAACGGAAAATGAAAAAGTTCTGATTGTCTTCGGTCGATCCATGGCGTTTCCCCCCATGCTTGTTCTGGTTGGCTCACCCAGCTATCGATTTAGCTTAGAGACAGTCCCGGATGAGAAATGAACACGAATTCTGTCAAACAAGGTGTCGCTGATTCCCCTGATGGGGATGATGCTTGATTGCCAATTTTATTCCCTCGTCTGGTCTTACGGCCGGATGTCTCGTAGGAGGCTCTACGGGGGACGGCTGTCTGTTGAGGACATGCCGGACTACGGAGAGTCGATCGTAGAAATTTCAGTCATAAGCCATTGATTTGGTTCTTATCTGACACGCTATCTTATCGGGGTATCAACCTTGGTTCAAAACGCCTCATAATGCCATGCGCCAAAGGATCTTAGTTTTCATGAGGGACATATCCTTCGATGGAGCCTCCCTTCTCGTCTCCAGGACGCATCTGCGGTGCTTTCGCTGGCCCGCGGGGGTTATCGTTCTCTTGGACTTGAATATCCACTCTGCCAGTATAGAGGGCAGGATGCGCATCTCCTCGTTCCATGGCCAGTTCTCGTGAACGAGCCTCGTCGCGGACGGATAGTCGTGCAATGTCATCTGCCATATCGCCAGGACCTTGTAGTTTCTCCAAGTGCATACTGTCCAGCTGGCCGGCAACGTCGCGGATAGAGACGGGGTCTCTCATCTTGCCCTTGCCTTCTTTCGCCCTGGCCTCCTCCAGCAAGACGAGGTGCTTGCCACGCGCATCGTCAGCCCTTCTTTCCCAGACTGGTTCTTCAGCCAGCTGTACTCGTATGTACATGGCTCTTTCGGCGCACTCATTTGAGCACCACATCTCGAGCTTCTCTTTGGGAACGATATCCATCTCGCGCCCGCGGCCACCCCGCCCGCTTCCTTTCGCACCCCACGTTATGCGAAACGAGCCTCTGCCATCTTCCTTGCGACGCTCTCGAGGACATAGACCGTAGCCACAGAGACCCTCGATATTCCTCTCTTCGATCAGATTGTCGTAGTCGGCGGGTTGAAAGGGGACTAAGGCGGACTTGAACTCCCGCACATCGTCGGGGGAGGGTGATGCAGGATCTGCTGAACGGGAGGACGGAAGTTCAACAAGTCTCAGAATGCGGTCGAGAATCAGAAGCTCTGTGTCCTTCTGAGCTTGAATTTGATTCGCATGATGTAAGGCGATAGCTAGATGGCGCGGATCGACATCTGTTCGGTTTGCAATTGAGCTAGGTAGTTGCTGCTGTTGCTGTTGAGACATTTGAGGGGGTTTAGAAGGGGACGCCCGACGGTTTGGGGCGGAATTGGAGGGGCCAGATGCAGCGGTCGCTGCGTGGATCGAAGGAAGAGAGGTCTTCAAAATTGGAGTTGGTCGTCCAGAGGACATTCCAGCAGATTTTCCGAACGGAACAGTCAGAAAGCGGGAAATATTATAAAGTCTGTGTCAGTCACTTGTGGTGGAGGAAAAGTGTATGGTGAGGAGAAGATAGTGGTAGAATGGATGGGAAGGTTGGATGGATAAGACAAAGTTCCAAGATTGTTCGGGTCGGCAGGGAGGCAAAAACCCCGGATTCAAGACGGCAAGCTACGGATACGTAATAACAAGAAGGGTCTTTAAGTAGTTAGGAAGGGCAGGTTCAACAATGACTATACATGGTGCATGCAGGATTGATTAAGGGGAGGGAAATATAGGCTGCACCAGGGACGCCACCAGTAGTATTAGTATAGTAAGTAGTAGTACTGATCTAGCTACCTTTCAGTGTAGATAGCGATGATGTACCACCACGTTTTAATTCCACGGCCCTCAGGCAGCTGTTCCATCGTATGTTTTTGTGTTGGCTTTGGTGTCTGACGGGCTGTTCAATCTTATTAGCTGCCGATCGCTGCGGGAGTGGAGCAAGTGTCCCGCCTGGCAAGAAGAGTTGTGAAGTGTTAAGTTAGTACTGTGGTCGTTGTCGTCGTAGTACTTGTCAGTAGCAGTAGCAGTCGTTATGCTCAGTGTCTCTCTCTCTCTCTGTCTCTCGCCGTCCCTCCTCTTCCACTCTCTCCCTCTTCCCTCCTCCCTTTCCAACACCACAACCCACCTCCCCCCATCCCACTCCTTCTTTTTGTCTTCCTTCCCTTGTGCATTAATTTCCTATATTCTCCCGTCTCTCTGGACATTGTTGTCTTTTACCCTGCAGTAAGTTATTTCTATTCCTTTACCTCTCTTTCTTCCCCTCCTCCTCCACTCCCCCCTCCCCCTTGCGGTGTTTCCGATCTCCGGAGGTACTAAGCTCCCTGACTACGTCAGTCAGTCCAGCAGGCTGACATATTATCATTGTTATTTTTGCTCCCTCCGAAGCATACCGGCTTACCTTCCAAACCCCGCTGTTAAGCATATCTGCACTGCACATGTCTGTCTGCATTAGACGCTTTCCAGTCTAGTGCTCCACCACCTGCAATTATTATTGTTCTGCCGTGTCATTTGCATTCCGCCAGCCTCCCTCTCGCTCCGCTCCCCAATCTACCCCCCACCACCACCACCACGTCCGTTGTGACAGCGTCTCGACTTGCCAGATGTCCAGTCCGCCGTTCACAGTCAAAGCGGTCTTCGAATACGCTTCGGACCACGATGACGACCTAAATTTTGCCATCGGCCAGATTGTAACCGTGACGGCGGTGGAAGACGCGGAATGGTACTTTGGTGAGTATACCGACGAGTCGGGGCACAAGCGAGAGGGTATTTTCCCCAAGAACTTCGTGGAAAGATATGAACCCCCAGCTCCTCCACGGCCTACACGCCCGAGCCGACCGAAGAGGGAACCAGAGGTCGCTCCCGGGCCGCCTCCTCCAGAGCCCGCTGTTGCTGTCGAGCCCCCTACGACTGAGCCCCCGCGCTCCTTGGAACCCGAAGTGGAGGATACACCTGCACCTGTGCCCCAACCTCCTCAATCGCCGCCTCCTGCGTTGGCGTCACCAACCCGTGAGCTCCCCTCGTCCCCGAAGCCAGCGCCTGTCCCGGCTCCTGCCCCGGTTTCTCAACCCCCTACAAATGACATCAGCGAACCGGCTCCGAAACCCTCGTCCAAGCCCCCACCTCCCGCCGTTGCGGAGAAGCCGACAGGGTCATCGTTCAGGGATCGCATTGCTGCTTTCAACAAACCCGCCGCACCCCCAATTGCACCCTTCAAGCCGGGTGGTTTGAGCGGCCAGACCACTTCCTTCGTCAAGAAGCCGTTCGTTGCGGCACCTCCCAGTAGAGATGCATACGTACCCCCGCCCCGTGAGGCTCCCCGCAAGATCTACCGGAGGGAGGAGGATCCAGAGGTCCAAGAACGTCTGGCAAAGGAGCCGCCCGTTTCCGAGACTCGACCACTGTCCAGTGGAGGCGCGGAGGAAGGTGCGGAGGAGCAGCCCAAGCCGACAAGCTTGAAGGAGCGGATTGCGCTCTTGCAGAAACAGCAGATGGAGCAAGCTGCTCGTCACGCTGAAGCCGCTCAGAAGAAGGACAAGCCCAAGCGCCCTCCCCCCAAGAAGCGCACCGAGTCTCATGAAGAAGCGATGCCTGTGGAAGAGCCGCCGACCGAGAGCACTCCATCTGGCGAGCCTGAGAGAGACCACAGTGTTGAGACGGTGAAAGCCGCTCACCCGCCAGCCCCGCCAGCAGCTATGCCCCCTCCGCCAGTGCGGGAGCTCGTCAGCGATACCAACGATGCCGATGATTCAGCCGCCGCTGATACGGAAGATGCGGAGGAGACGTCTACGAGCAAGGAGGACTATGACGAGCGCGCCCGGGCGGAGGTTCAGCACGAAGCTCAAGCGGAATCTCGGCAGCTAGAGCAAGCCGAAGAACGTGAAGCTCAGGTTGATGAAGGTGCAGAGGAGGAAGAAGAAGGGGAGGAGGAAGAAGAAGAAGAAGAGATAGACCCCGAAGTCAGGCGCAAGATGGAGCTCCGCGAAAGAATGGCCAAGATGAGCGGTGGAATGGGTATGATGGGCTTCTTTGGGCCTCCTGGTGGCATGCCTCGTCCGGCTGCAGCTCCTCGGAAGCCAAAGGCACCCGTGGAAGCCGAGAGACCCAGCGGGGAGTATGAACGATCCGGCCCAGCTGCTGCCCCTCCAGTGCCGATCATGGCTCTGCCGGGGATGAACGTGGCCAAGCCTGCTGCCACACCAAGCGTGGAGAAGGAGGAGGAGGAAGCTCAGACGAGCCCTGTGACAGAACAGCATCCTCCGCATGAGGTCCCTGATGTGGAAGATGTGGTAGAGGAAGAGCCTCCTCGGCGTACATCCACCGACAGGCCACCTGCGCCTTTAGGTACGAGCACAAGTCATTGATGATCATAGCATACCATCTAATTATTCTCTCTAAACAGAGCGCGCGGCTCCGCCCCCTCCGCCACTCGAAACACGGCCAGTTCCACCTCCTGTCCCTCACGATGCGCCTCTGTCTCCGCCCCCTGTTCCCGGACGTAAGTTCTCCATGGTATCAGTGTCCTATGCCACACATGCTGACCTGAGATAGATCAAACCACCCCTAAGGGCGTTGCTCCTGCTGACACGGGCGAAGAGTCGGACGATGAGCTCTCCTTGCATACTAAGAATCTCTCCCTAAACGCTGCGGCAGCCGATCACTCTCCAAGCCAACCTGTTCCTGCTCCACCGCTCCCCGATCATCTAGACTCTCGCCGCTCGTCGACATACGATGTCACCTCCCCGAAATCGCCCACACTTCCTGCAGATAAGAGACTTAGCCGTCCTCCACCTCCTATTCCAGGCAATCCACCCGTCCCGGCTCAGAGTCGACCAGCTCCTCCCCCGCCGCCCGTTAATATTCGCCGGAGGTCGACTGCCGACAGCCGAACCAGTGTAACTTCACAGTCTCGCCAAGCGGGCGAAGAGGTGGAGGGCGAGGTCACCGAGTATGACGGCGACTACGACACTGACATTGCATCCGGTGCCAAGTTTAAGGACGCCCTGAAAGCTCATGGACGTGATTCAAGTTTCGACGAGGGGACAACTACTGACGACCACTCACTTCAATCTCCTCGGAGCCCGCCACAGACTCGTCTTCCGCCTCCGCCTCCCCCAAATGCCCCTAGGGCAGTCCCTCCTCCGCCCCCAATTCAGCCTCCCAAGAGTGCAGGCAGGGCCTCTATAGATTCCCCCCGCGGACCCCCTCCTCCTCCTCCCCACCGAGAGTTGTCTTTTGGAGGTGATGATGAAGAGTACGATCCGTACCGTTACAATGCCCCGCAACATGGACTGCCTACCCCAAGGGGGCCTCCACCTGTTCCCGCTGGACCGCCGCAGCTACCTCCTGTTATACCTTCCCAGCCTGCGGAGGAAGAATCGGAGGAGCTCTATGAAGCTTCGCCCGTCCAATCACACCCCGAATCAACGTTCTCCCAGTCTGAGAAGAGAACCTCGATGGCACCCCCGCCTCCCACGTTACCCCCACCCACGCCGCGTAGCAACCGTGCATCGCTTGATGTCCCCAGAACGCAGCCCAGCATGCGGCGGTCCATGGATGTCAGTCGTCCGTCCGCCGACCAAGGCTTCATCGCCATGGACGTAGACCTGGCGGAGAACACGCTCTGGTGGACGCAGCACAATACTCCCCCTCCCGTGTTCCAGAACCGCAAGGACATCTTGCTTGAATTTGAGGAGTCAAGTTCTTCGAAGAGAGGTGGTAAGACCATGGTGACCAAAGACATCTACGTTCTTTTCATGGACCACTCGCAAACGGTGATTACGGTCAACTTCGACGCTCGGAATCCCACGGATGTTGCCTTTGAGCAGCGCCACGAGGCTCCTCCTATCCAGCCTCGCCAGGACCAACTTGAGAACGCACATCTGCAGATTGGCACTCGCATCGCCTCCACGGCCAATTCCATTCAGAACACTACCGTTGCCGACGGCACTCCGTTTGGCCTCGTTCAGCACGTGCTCAGTCCCTTGTCGGATGCCCTCAAGCCGGTTGGAACACGTGCCTATGGCGCTTTGGTCTACTCCAATTTAGCCAACGCTTCTGTACAGCAGAACGACGAGATCCGCGCCGGTGATATCGTCAGCTTCCGCAACGCTCGCTTCCAGGGACATCGCGGCACGATGCACCAGAAGTACAGTGCGGAAGTGGGCAAGCCCGACCACGTGGCCATTGTGGTTGACTGGGACGGAACCAAGAAGAAGATCCGTGCTTGGGAGCAGGGCCGCGAAAGCAAGAAGGTCAAGATGGAGAGCTTCAAGCTCAACGACCTCCGCAGTGGCGAATGCAAGGTGTGGCGAGTGATGCCGCGTAGCTATGTGGGCTGGGAGAAATAAGTACAGTATGAAATATCCGAAGTTCTTTGAAGGGTGGAGACGAGTAAATGATTTGATTCTGGTATATCTAATGCCGCTGGTACATGGACCGCAGGCGGACAAACCTCGATTGCCTCTGTGATGTGTTAACTAACATTCTTGTTGTATGTACCTATTGATGTTATCCATATGTGCTTAATCTGTCTATCGTCTACTGCATAGTGTGAATGATCTTTATGTAACATGCTTTTGCTTTTGCTTGTAAACTATAGAAATAATCGCCGTTCAAACGTAGCATGTACATTGATGCCTCAGGCATAAACCGGTAAGTCAGGCCGCCGCAGTGAGTGGCAATACAATACTTCCCTATCGGGAATTCACCTCCATCCATCACCATCTTCCACACCTCTTTCTCCCCCATCCACCTACAACCCCCAGTCCACACAACAACAACAACCACACCAAGAAACAACCAGCTGGACACCCAGCCCCCTCTCACAAAATGGGTGGCGACCTCAACCTCAAGAAGTAAGCAACCTCTCCCCCAACCCATCCCCAATCCCCCATCCCAGCACTAACGCAACGACATAAAACAGATCATGGCACCCCTCCCTCCTCCGAAACCAAGAGCGCGTCTGGGCCGAAGAAAAACGCGCGCTCGAGGAGCGCAAACGCATCGACCAACTCCGGCGCGAGCGCGACGAAGAGCGCCAAATCCAAGAACTCCAACGGCTACAAGAAGGGACGGGGAAACCGAAGCAGATCCAGCGCGTGGACTGGATGTATCAGGAACCTGGGTCCGGAGGGGCAGCCGGGGGTATGTACGCGGAGGAAATGGAGGGGTATCTTTTGGGGAAGAGACGGATTGATGGGATTTTGTTGAAGAAGGAGGGGGGGGAGACGGAGGGGTTGAAAAAGGGGGCGGAGTTTAATGCGACGCTTGGTGGCGGAGGGGGAGGGGGCGTGCAGCAGCCGGTGGTGAATTCGAGGGATACGATGGCTAAGGTGTTGGCTGATCCGCTTTTGGAGATTAGGAAGAGGGAACAGGCGGCGTTGGAGGGGATGGTTAGGGAGGAGGTTAGGAAGGGGGGGAGTTCTTCGAAGGGGGGGGAGAAGAGGGATAGGGATGGGCATAGGGAGAGGAGGAGGGAGAGGGAGAGGAGGCATAGGTCGAGGTCGCCGGAGAGGAGGCGGAGAGATGCTACACATGATCGTGATCGTGATCGTGATGATAGGGATAAGGAGAGGAGGAGCGAGAGGGATCATAGGAGGGATAGAGAAAGGGACAGTGATCGGGACTATCACCGCTCGAGCAGACATCGGGAGCATCGTGATCGTGATCGTGAAGATCGATATGACCGGCGAGATCGATCCCCTGCGGATCGCCACCACTCTGACAGACGGCGCAGCGACGATCGGAGAGAAAGCGATGGGTACAGAGATTCTCGAGACCGGGACCGTGATCGCAGAGACCGCGACCGATCCAGTCGCTACCACCAAGATAAAAGAGACTACCGTCCCCGAGACAGAGATACATACAGCCGCGACAAGCCGAACGCCGAAGAAGCCGAGCAGAAGCGCAAGCAGCAAGAGGAAGAACGGCAGCGCAAGCTAGCGGAGATGCAAGCGAACGCGAGCGAGATGGAGGATGCTCGGCGACAGCGCATTGCGGAAGTCAGTGCTATTGAAGCGAAGCAGCATGAAGAAGATGAGAAGCATCGCTCGGAGAAGGGTCGCTTTGTGTCTGGACTGCATAAACAGCTTCAGGAGGATAGTCTGGATGAGCGGATTAAGCGCAGTCGGGGCGGGCTGGCTCGCCTGGATGAGGATTAATTGTTATCATCGTTTTAGTTAGCTTTTATGAATATTATTGGGCGCATATGGTGATCATGGGATGGATGGATGGTGTGCTGTGCTCTGGAAGCACGATATGATTGCGGTCATTCTCCTTTCTCATCATGTCTATGCTCGACATGCTATCAATGTATCATATACCAAGGTTTTATGTTATTATTCATGCTCTAACAAACGCATATTTACCTACATAATCAAGCATCAACGACTATCAAAACAGAATAAATAAAAAGTCCCTAAATATAAATCGAAATGAGAGAGAAAGAAAAAAAAAAAAAAAAAAAAAAAAAAAAAAAAAAAAAAAAAAAAAAATTAAGAACCTATCTAGCAGGAGAAAAAGAAAGAATACAGAATGTTACAACCAGTACAATTACAGCAACAACAACTCACCCGTGGCTGCTCCTCCCGCCAGCTGCGGCTGATACACCTGCTGCTGGTTCTGAGTAACGACATACTGCGTCTGGGGGGCGCCACCACCGCCAACACCACCGTCTTCGCGACCACCCAGGTCCAGCGCAGCCATTTGTTGAGTGCCGACACTGTTGAAGTAGCTGTCGGCGGCGCTGACGGCTGCGTTCATATCGCTGGGGGCAGATGCGCTGGCGGCCATGGCGGCGGTGGGGCTGTTGGATTGCGACGGGGCGGGGAATTGCCAGACAGCAGTGCCGGGTTCTTCCTTCGGTTTCTGCAGGGCAGGGCTGTACTGTAGGCGTCTTGTGCGCGCGGAGCGGAAGACTTGTTGGACGGGTTTCAGGTACACGGTGGCGAGAGTGCCGACGTTGAGACAAAGTTCCTCGAGGGTGCGGGAGTCGAGTTTCTCGCTTTCAGCGCTGATGGGAGGTTTCTCGCCCATGACGATCTGCTTTGCGGTCTTGGGGTCGGTGGATAGCAGACGCCAGTACATGTAGCCTCTGTCGCGGAGGTCCGGGTCGTCGGTTTCTTCGGTGCACCATTTTAGGACCTGGGGGACGAGCTGTTGGCCCTTGGTGGGACGTTGGATGAAGAACTTGACAGTGGCGGTGAGGAGGGCAAGTTGGACTTCGACGGTCTCGTCGTGGAAGGTGGCTAGGTAGTCCTGGAGGAGGCCATCGGAGTTCTCGATGCGGTCGGCGTACTGGCCGATGATCCAGATGATGGCGGCCTTGGCTTCGGGTTCGTCGAGCTCGTCGATGTTCTGGATCACGTTGCCGATGATGTTCTCGTATTGGTTGGGGTACTTGCGGAAGATGTTGCGGATCACAACCGTCGCCTCCTGGACGATGTAGGGAATCTTCGCGTTGACCAGTTCCAGCAGGGTGTCGATGCATTGTTTTGCGGCGGACTCGATCTTGATAGCGAGCTTTCCGATGGCACGCACTGCCTTGCGCACGAAGTGGACGTCGATCTCAGTCGCATACCTATGGACGTGTTAGTAGTTAGGGTTAGAGGAAGGGAGGACCGACGTACTCTCTGAGTTCTGCAAGGACCACGGAAATGTTCTCCTTGGTGGTCAGCATGAAGATCAACTCCAGCTTGGTGACCTTGACGTAGATCGGATCGTTGTAGTTACAGAAGAAGCAGCGGATATCGTTGCGGAGCACTTCGGGCCGCTTCTGCAGGATAAGGATGGCGTTTCGGAGAGCCAGATACTGTACTTCTGGTGGCTTAGAGAGAAGGGTGACAAGGGGTGGTGATAGCTTCTTTGCGAGTGAGGTGACATGTCTTTCGTCGGCAATGTAGTTCATGAGGTAGAGGATAACGCGGATAGAGGTCAGGACAACGGCAGAGTTGGAGTGCGAGAGGCGGGGGGCTATTCGCTCTGCCAACAACAGGGATTCTGCGGAGTCTTGCGGGACATAGGACATCAAAGCCTCGAGGATGTAAGACTGGCCCCATCTGCACAATGTCAGTAAGCTGCATCGGACACAGAAGCATAGACACATACTCAGAGCAGTCTGGTAGGATCGAAACGAGCTTCGAGGCACTGGTGTAGTCGATAGTCAGTGAGATCGATTCACTACGACCCCAGATGTCCACCAAGGAGGCCAGGACGCTAGAAACCACCGTCGGGTTCTCGTCCTTGAGCATGCTGTTCAGCCGATCAATCAGATCCGACGCCTCGACCATCTTCTTATCGTGCTCGTAGAGCTTCGCGACGCAGAAAGCGGCGGTCTTGCGCACGTACGGATCCATATCGCTCATCAGTCGCTTAACCGGTTGCACTGTCGCTTCGACAAACTCGCGGACATGGATGTAGGAGATGGTCCGTAGTGCCAGGGCACGCACGAGAGGGTTGGAGTCCTCCATATCCTGGATGATTCAGATTAGCTATCACATCCCCAGACGTAAAGGGAAACACCCACATCGATGAGGAACGGCAAAGCCTTGAGCGCAACCTCAGGTTTCGCTCTTGAGTAATTGACGAGGAACAGAAAGCACCTGTAGTGAGAGAGAAACTATTAGTCCCCACACAAGATGCGATACAACATCTTCCCGGAGACATACATTTTTTTGATCTCCAAGCTGGGCAAGTTCATACAGCCGATCACGTCGGGGAACAACGCGACCATATCGTTATTGCTCATGGTCATATTGGCGACAATCTTCTTAAGCGCGATCTTCTTGGCCGAATGGTTCTTGTCCTTCTTCCCCCCACTGTTCAACTCCTGTCGCAACTCGGCGACTTTGCCCTGTTTGGAACGAGAGAATGGTGAGCCATATTGCGCTGTATAAGGAACCACGCTGAGGAACATGATAGGGTAAGGATGTAGACCGAACTAGGGGGGAATTTGGGGGCCAGCCAGGAGGAGGGGATTCGGAGGAAGCAGCATGAGCATAGTGAACAAGATCCCCCGCAGAAGGAAAAGACAAAGCCAGCGCTGGTTCATGTGAACAAGGGAAACAGGCATGAGGGGAAGCGCGGGAAGATAAGCACACGCCCAAGGGCTCTTGCACGTCATGTATGGATGGTCCGATTGAGCGGCAGGAAGGAGAGCAGTGCCAATGCACATCAAGTACTACTCACCCTGGCGAACAACTTCGCATCTCCCCCGCTGGAACTCATGGTGCAGGTTCACAATCCTCCGATCGTCTGATCCAGTTTGTTGTCACGAATATTCGCAAAAGACCTCGTCTTGATATCGTCAAGGAAATCGTTCACGGACGTCGGAGAGCTTCAAGGGGCACTCGATCGGTAGACTAGTTGGCTTGGTTGGTCTGCTGCTCCGAAGCTTCAATTGCATCGGAGGGGGTTGCAGACTAGACTCGTTAGCGTCAAGGCACACAGGGGGGGATGAGTTTGTTTGGGGGCGCGACAATGCACTTACATATCTTAATCAATCAGTATAACCCCAGATTATCTCTCCGTGTCCTTGATGATTGTGAAATCCCAAACCGACGTCGACTGGAGCAACTTTGGAGAGGCAGCGTGAGAATCAGGAGTGGATCGGGGGCCGCCAACTCCGCGCTGGTGGAGAAATCCATCCATCGATTCCGGCCGGATCATCGTCACTCTAATCGCTCCCTCCTCATCTCCAAGCTCGGCCTGGCTTGCAGCATCATCCTTTCCTCGACCTCCCTATCCCTCAATATCTCCCAGGCACGAGGGAGTTAATTACTGAGAGTTCTTTCGACTCTCACAGTCCACCATGGCTTCTCTACCCCCTCCACCGCCGCCGCAATGGGTGGTGAGAATGAACACCCCCATGCCACGCCCTTCCAAAGAGGCTACCAGTATCCCTGATCCTCCAGGCTTCTCCAGGAAATCAACTGGCAAAAACGTATGTTTCCTTTGCCGATTACTACGCCGATCCCCTCTCTTGAACTCCAGCTCATACTAACGCGACATTCACATCCACTCCAGAACCGCGCCCAGCAGTCCTCAGCCACCTCCGCCCCATCCAAACCCGTCGAAACCGATACCCTGAAGCTCAAGAAAGCATGGGAAATTGCCCTCGCTCCCTCGAAGCAGATCCCCATGAACGCGATCATGATGTACATGTCCGGAAACAGTCTACAGATCTTCAGTATTATGATGGTGTTCATGCTGTTCAAGGGCCCCATCCAGGGCCTGATTAACACCAACACGGTGTTCGCCAAGTTCGATACGGAGGGTACGCGCGCGAAGCTTCTCGGTGTGAAGGCGATATATGTCGTTATGCAGCTGGTGCTGTTGTGCTTGGGTATTTGGAAGGTTAATGCGATGGGACTTTTGCCGTATGTGGTGCCTGTGTCTTGTTCTTGTTGCCGCGTGGAATCTGCGCTTGGTGGGAGATTGTTCATTGCTAATACTACTATTGCGACAGGACTACGAGATCGGATTGGTTGGCTTGGGAGTCGGAACGGCAACCGTTGGAGCGTGCTTACTTTGCTTTTGGATGATTGGGATGATCGTTCGGGATGAGTGTATGTTCGATGTTGTGTTAATTGAGAAATATAAAGCTATAGTCATCTGGAAGGGAGCTGCCATGCTAATTGGATATGGTAAACCTACACTGTAGGACAAAATCATATAGCTTATCATATAGGAGGGGCGGTGTGATATGGTGCTTCAAGTCCTTAACCTGATGGTAATAAATATGTTCATATGTAGTAGGTATTATGTAGATTGGTCCATGTCTGTCCAGTTTCATAACTATTAGACGAAAATAACATTATTTATCCAAGGTGACATATACGCAATATCGACCCAGACTTGGCAACCCAATATACTTATGTCTCTATCCATTATTTTCGTGACTTCAAAGCCTTCTGACAGGCTTCGAAGAAGATCTGGCAAAATTCCCACACTTCCGTGTACGTGTTGTACAAAGGTGCCGGTGCAACTCGAACGACGTCGGGCTTCCTTTCATCGACCACAACCCCGTGCTCTTCTAGTGTCTCCAAGACGCTATCCAAAAGTCCCGGTTCCAACAGCAGACTGAGTTGCGCCCCGCGTTCTGCCGGGTTCGAGGGTGTGATGATGGAGAAAGGTCGTTTCCCAGTAGGGAAGTCTGCAGGAGAGTTCAGAAGGAGATGTTCCAAGTAGCCAGTGGCGTTCAAGGACTTTTGACGAATCTCGGCCATCGAGGTTCGATTGAACAGCTCGAGCGACGCAACGACCGCATTCATATCCAGAACGGAAGGGTTAGATAGCTGGAATCCTGCGGCACCCGTCTGCGGAACAAAGTCTGTGGCTCTCAGTTAGTCGCTGAGCAAATGATAGCCATAAGAAAACCTACTGTTGTTCATAAGGAAGCGAGTCTTCTTGTCGCCTCCCCACCAGCCCGAGAGGCGCGGACGGAATGGCTCCTCCTCACTGCCAACCTTGTCCATCTCCACTCGGCCATGTCTCTCATGCACGAACAAAGCTGCCATCCCACCTGGACCACTGTTGAGGTACTTGTAATTACACCACGCAGCAAAGTCTACATTCCAGTCGTGCAAGCGCAGGTCGACATTACCTGCTGCATGCGCACAGTCCCAGCCGACGAGAATCCCCTTGGATTGGGCATGCGCGGTAATCTTCTTGATGTCGAAGTACTGCCCTGTATAGAACTGGATGCCAGAAAGGAGCACGAGCGCCGTGCTTGAGGCATGTTCATCAATAACTCGGAGGATTTGCTCCGTTCGCAGAATCGGCTTCAAGCGGTCTTCCGGCTCGATAAGAACCATAGCATCCTCTGGGCGAAGATCGTGGTGTCTAATCTGTGACTCGATGGCATACTATACTCAATGGGTTAAGCAATTGCTTCTCAAATGATTATCAGGTTTAAACCCACATGGTCGCTCGGGAACGCCTTCCCTTCCAAGATAATTTTATACCTCTCCTGGGTCGGGCGGTAGAAGCTCGCCATCAAGAAGTGTAAGTTCGCTGTCAGTGTGCCCATCACTGCCACTTCACTTTCCAGGGCTCCCACGATTGGCGCCATGAGCTTCGCGCCGGCGTCATCGACGTCAACAAATGGTGGGAGCAATTGGTCCTCGTGCGGAAGAAAATGTCCAGTTACGCCCTTGATAGCCCATGTCCGTAGATAGTAGTCAATGTACTTGCGGGCATTGCGAGGTTGAACGCCCAATGAGTTTCCACAGAGATATATACACCGGGGATCAGACTCATCAGTGGCTAGATGAGAGGGCATTTGATTAGTTAAATCGAGACAATATAGCAGCGCTACGATACGTACAGCTATCGTCAATTGCCAAAGTCTTTCTTTTCAAATCAACTTTAGAGGGAATGATAAATTCCTTCCTGAATTCGCGCAAAGGATCCTGTGCATCGAGAGACTCTGCATATTCCTTGGTGAAGGCATTGATATCAGTTTTGTAGGAAAGCGGGGAGCTGACGCTCGATTCATGTGCAAGTTTAGAAGTCATGATTCAGGTGCTCCCTCGGTATGGCGAAGGCACTATGTACTGGCAAAAATAAAATAGAATAAATATACCCAAATTTCTCGTCTACTATACAATCATAGACACTATCAGCGAAGAAGGAGAAGAAGCTACAGTCATGGAAATGTCAAGCAAAACCAATGAAGTTCCCCGCGATTATCTCGATTCTGCCACTTCTTGCCGGTCCCCGATCGACCAATGGCGTCATCCCGAACCCTCTGACTAACGGCAATAATACCTTCTTTTCGATGGCTGCTCCGAGCCTCCGATCATATTATCAATCCAGTCTTCATTCTCCTTCAACAAAAGTCCTCCTTCACTCGCCTTTCCTAACACCTCTTTTCCCCTCTATGACGACAAACATGTCCCGTCCGATCCTCTCCACAGCCGCCCGCCGGCTCTCCCGTTCTCATTCTCCTCGCACCGCGGTTTCTGCACTTTCCCCGGCAACGTTGCCGACATTGAGCTTCTCCGCATCTTTCTGCGATACCGTTTCCCAACGATCCACGCTCCGGCCTAGATTCCTTTGCCCCCGGGCGAGCACATCCTCACCGCGATCAGTATTCCGCTTTGACGCTTTCGGACAACGCTCTTCCTTTTCCACCACGAGCATCCGATCAGCTACCAAGGTGCTACAAAACCCGAGGGTTGATGAAGAGGGAAAGGACTTGTTGATTAGTATCTCGCCGAGGGCCGCCGAGGTACGTTGAGGCAATATTCACTTTCTGTCCCTACTTGCATATATTATACCTCTTCCGAAGAGCATTGCGAAAATGTGGCGATGGTATGGCTTGAGTTGCGTTCGGAGGTTGAAACGGAGATGCAAGCGCATGGGAAGCAAATGCGCCGGATCACGGGAGCTAGCCTACTGTTAGCCACGATATGAACCCTTTCAAGTATGAAACAAGTACATACGACCATAGGGTGTGGAAAACAGGGCTTCCCGTCCGCTCAGCCGTACTTAAGCCACACGCCGGGAGGTTAGTAGTTGGGTGGGTGACCACCAGCGAATCCCTTCTGTTGTATGTTTTTGCATTTTTCCCCTCTCTCTCCCAGAGGAGGGATAACAACTTTACTTTTCTTTTCTTGCCCTTCATGTCGCTAGAGTACTCCTGTTATATCATGAACTAACATCTTTCCAACAGCGTCTCCGCGAAATCACAGACCCTTCCTCATCCCCCTCCATCACCAAGGAAGAAAACCCCTACCACCATCTCCGCATCACCGTCACAAGTGGTGGATGCCATGGATTCCAATACCTAATGTCACTGGAGGCCGCATCCAAGATCGACGCGGAGGAAGACACTATCTTCGCAGCCGAGCCCGAGGAGGGTGAGGCGGAGGTAGCAGGTGCCGGAGAAGCTAAAGTAGTCATGGACGAGCCATCGCTGGAGCTTCTTTCGGGCAGTACGGTGGATTATACGATGGAGTTGATTGGAAGTCAGTTTAAGATTGTGGACAACCCGCGCGCAACGAGTAACTGTGGGTGCGGGACTAGTTTTGATGTTCAGGATTGAATGAGGACCTAGCTAGATAGGTCTACCATTTCTGGACCCAACCAACCTAACTGTATATGTGTATCATACTAGAATATGAGATAGAGTAATGCTATACCCCCAGCTGCTTCTTCCTATATATCTACTTAGAGGTTGAATGGAAAATATTTGCTTAAGTCATCATCTATTTCATCATGCGGATTCTACATCCCTGTCTGTCCTCTGCTAGCTAAGACACAAACAGCTCGATGCACACAGACCAGACCGTGTCGAACCGGAAGCAAAACCAAACACAAGCATAATGGGATACGCCTTGGAACATTTCCTCAAATGAAAAAACAAAAAAGGAAAAGAAGAATTCTTTTTGTCGACTCCAACCCCGTATAACCAGGATGGTTAAGGGTTGTGCGACCAACCCCCTGAGTAATGAGAAGCATGGACAATCGAAGCAAGATATGGGAAGCGGAGGACAGAATAAATAAATAGATAGGATAAAAAAAAGAATCATGATGTTGGTGGGATGGGGAAGACGTGAGTAAGTGAACGGGCCCACAAAAGGTGAGAGGGTAATTGATGACCCGTTCGAAAAAGCACGACTTGGACTCGATTGCCCAAACGATCCCCCTTCCCAGCTGATGATATCTCCTGGACCACACATCCCCTTCTTTCTGTTTTGCACTTCAGTGTGTCTCTCGTGGTTCCTTGCTGAGATTGAGTTCCCCTTCGTGGAGTCTAGTTACAGACCGGACGCATGTCTCAAGTCAAATGACGTGGGGATATGCGTTTTGGCACTAGAAGGGGTCGCTGTAGCGTACTCGGACTTAGTAGACACGAGCAAGGTTCCTGAGGTACCAGTCCACAAGACGGCGTCCGGCCTTGGTCTCGCTGACGTGGATGAGGTCGTTCTCCAGAGCGTAGTCGAGGTCGTTGGCGTTGACCGGCTCGCCCTCCAGAAGGCCGCCCTCAACCCAGCGCACCTGACGGCTGCGCTGCTTGTTGATGAGGAGCCAAGAGCGGAGCTTCTCGGGCTCGACCTCCAGGAAGCCAGCCAGCTTCTTCAGGTCCATGGTGGTGTAGAGCTTCAGGTAGGAGCGGATGGTAGGGTTGTACAGGGTGTTCTTAACCTCATCCATGAAGATGGCGGTGTGGTGGTCAACAGGGTCGACGTTGAGGGCCGGGTTCTCGAAGTCGGGGGGAGTGGGGCTGATGAACTTGGGGCAGGCCGAACGGAAGAGCTCCTCGAACAGAGGAAGGGCCTCGGGGCCACCATGCTGCAGGCGGTTGAGCTGCTCGCCGTACTTCTCGCGCAGGGCGGAGTGGATGGTGTCATCCAGGCGAGTGGGGTGGAGAGCGACACAGATGGCGATGAGAGCGTACATCTGGTCGTTCTTCTTGGCGATGGCATCGTAGCTGTTGCCACCCTTCTGGAAGTTCTTGGTCCGGGAAACGTAGACCAGGATGTGGCTGAACATGCGGATGGCATCGGCATAGCGACGCATCATCATGTAGGAGAAACCGACATAGTAGTAGGTGGTGAAGTGGGCCGCCATGACACGGGCGAACATGGCCTTCTTGTTCATCTCGATGTCGTCGAGGGTCTT